TATGAGTGTTGGTTTTACATGGCACATGTGTGGAGGTCAGAAGTGTCCCTTCCTCTGTAGCTTCTTCAGGCTTGAGCTCAGGTCAACTCAGGGTATCAGCCTTGGTGGTAAGCACCTTGACCTGCTGTGCTCTCTCCATGGCCGCCACTAGGAGATTCCTTAAGTAGTATGATGGTCCTTGAAAGAGATCATGATGGTGTCAGTGACCGAGGAGGCAGTTGTAGGGAAGAAAGCTAAGAGTCTGAATCCTCGAGTGGGTTTTAGTTTCTTGCAGTGACTAAGCTGAGCAGGGTGAAGGTCAGGTATGCCTCCTGTGCCTGTTGACCTGAGCAACAGAGTAGATGGTGATACTGAAATGTGTCTACATGTAGGCAATTTAGAATACCTCTGATTTCCAAGGAAAGGCATCCAAAAGACAAGTGGATATAGAAGTAAAGAGGGTGAGGTCTGGGAATGAGGTTTCCTTATCTGTGTGATTGTCTCTATATATCTTGAAACTATAGAATCAACTAAAGCACAAAAAGTGCAGCTATTAGGCTAAAAAGAGAATGGGAGGAGAGAGTGGCGGTGCAGTCTTTTAACTCAGGCAGAGGAGCCAGGTGGTCTTTAATTCAGCAACTGGAAGGGAGAGAAGGCGGATCTCCGCATGCCTCCTTTCTCTCCCCAGTTGCTAGGATTAAAGTTATGAACCAGTATGCTCATCAGATGTTCACTACATGGCCCTGGCTGGCCTGGATCTCACAGATCTGCCTACCTCTGGCATATGAATTCTGGAAGTTAAGGTGTCTGTTGCCACACCTGGCAAGTAGTTTTTCTAAGTTTTGGGGTGTTTTGTTTGTGTTAATGTACATTAGTGTTCTGCCTGCATGTATGTCTATGCACCATGCCAGGTGCCTATGGAGAGGAGAAGAGTACGTCAGATCCCTTGTAACTGGAGCACAGAAGGTTGTGAGCCACCATGGGGATAGTACTAGGAGTAGGTTCTGGGTCCTATGTTAGAGTAGCCAGTGCTCTTAATTACTAAGCCATCTCTCCAGCCCCTGAGTATTTATCTTTTAACCACATTTAGTGTGTGTGCAAGCAACAGGTCCCCCACCTTTTTTTTTTTTTAACTTCCTTGTTAATAATAATTACCAAAACTCAAGAAATCTGAGGAAACGAAGATGAAGTGTGAGTGACAGAGCCTGGTGGTGGTAGCACAGTGCTAGCACTGGAGCAGCAGAGCAGATGGAGCTCTGAGTTTGAGGCCAGCCAGGGCTACACAGAGAAACCCTGTCTCAAAAAAGCAAACAAAAAAACAAAACAAAAAACCAAGGTGGGGGGGGAGCTTTGAGATCTAGCACTCAAGGGAAACCTCTAGTCACAACCAACTATTCACGTAATTTTGTGATATTTGTTTTGTGAGCCAGTAGCAGTGCTGCTTTTGAACTGTTAAAGGCTCTCAAGATGACTCTTGTCAGTAAATCCACTTGCCTCAAAAGCCTGGTGACCTGACTCTGCGTTTGTCCTCCGACCTCCACATGTGTACTTGGCACACTTGCCTGCATACACACAGACACAGTCCTAATAGATAAAAAAAAAAAAAAAAAAAAAAAAAAAAGTTCCAAAAAATAAAATTTGACTGTATGAGATTGAACTTAATACAGTCTTGAAAGGACTTTTTGGTTTTTCGAAACAGGGTTTCTCTGTGTAGCCCTGGCTGTCCTGGAACTCACTCTGTAGACCAGGCTGGCCTCGAACTCAGAAATCCACCTGCCTCTGCCTCCCCAAGTGCTGGGATTCTCTGCCTCCTAAATGCTGTGATTCTCTGCCTCCCAAGTGCTGGGATTAAAGGCGTGTGCCACCACCGCCCAGCTGTCTTGAAAGGACTTGAAAGGTGACTCAGCACAAGTGTGATGGTTTGTTTATGCTCAGGCCAGGGAGGGGCACAGTGAGGAGGTGTGGCCTTGGAGTAGGCGAGGTACTATGGGCGTGTGCTTAAGACCCTCATCCTAGCTGCCTGGAAGCCAGTCTTCTAGCAGCCTTCAGGTGAAGATGTAGAATTCTCTCAGTTCCTCCTGGGCCATGCTTGCTTAGATGCTGCCATGCTTCTGCCTGGATGATAATGGACTGAATCACTGAACCTATAAGCCAGCCCCAATTAAATATTGTCTTTATAGGAAGAGTTCTTGGTCATGGTGTTTGTGCACAGCAATGAAAACCCTAAGACAACAGGAAAGAAACTTGTTATATACTGCAGGCTAATTGGTCTAGTAATGACAGAATCTTTAACATTGAATGTATCTTAGTAAAGATAAATTTGGTTTTTTGTTTGTTTGTTTGGTCTTTTTTTTTTTGGTTTTTCGAGACAGGGTTTCTCTGTGTAGTCCTCCTGGCTGTCCTGGAACTCACTATGGTAGACCAGGCTGGCCTTGAACTAAGAAATCCACCTGCCTCTGCCTCCCAAGTGCTGGGATTAAAGGCGTGTGCCACCACTGCCCGGCTGTTTTATTTTTATTTGTTTTTGGGTTTTTTTTTGAGTTCTTGAGATAGTCTTCTTATGTAGCCCAAGCTGTCCTGGAACTTTATGAGTAGACCAGGTTGACCTCAAATTCACAGAGACCTATCTGTGTCTCCTTAGTGCTAGGTGGTAAGTTTGAAGCTTGCATGAACTACATGTGAGGTGTCCTGTGTCTCAAATCAATGAAACAAATGGTAGTAGACATCCAGGTGCTTCACTAGCATAAATCAAACATATGAGACAAACAATAGCAACAACAAAAATACACATGTGTAAATTAGACTTAATTAGAATGTAAGCATTCATATTCCAAAAGACACATGAAGAAAGCGAAAGGGAGGGTGGAGGTGAGGTGAAGCACTTGCTATATTAGTGTCAGACCTTCAGTTCAGATCCCAGAACACGTGTAAGATCAGGGGCAAGAAGACATTATGGCAATTGCATTGAGTGTACAGTAGCAACATTTAACTATTCATTCTTCAGATCCATAAACATAAACTCTGAGATCCACCTGCCTCTGCCTCCTGCATGCTGAAATTGAAGGTTTGCACCATACAATGCCTGGCAATTTTAGTTATTTTTATGTTGCATAAGCTTTCAGTGTTCTGTCTTTCCATTTTTGCATTTGTAGCTCCTCCTTTTCTCCCTCTCTCACCTTTTAACCTCCATTCCTTTCTTTTTTAGACAGGGACTCACAGAGATCTGCCTGGCTATAATACCAAATTTTTGCTATCAACTATGTATGTTCATAGTAATAACTAGGTAGATAGAAAATTTAGGCCAGTCTGGTTATTTTATCTTTGGTGAGATAGTAAGTGACATACGTTTTAGAAGAACATCTCTGAATGTGTTATCATCCCACCTTTCAAGTGTCAACATTATAGCTGACTTTATTTATTCTCTGGAGATTTTTTATTTGATTTTTCTAATGTTGTAGGTGTTGACACCCATTAACTTTAGATTTGTTCTTGCTTGGACTTTGGTCTATAGGGAGAATTTACTGTGAAAGAAAATAATGTATTGTGAAAATGAGTTCCTAAAAATCAGATGTGACTGATGACGTGGGCCACTCTTAAGCCAGAGGGAAGAAAGCATCCTCTTGGAGGTGGGACCGTCTGTAGAAACAGGGTTTCCTCATGGGCTTCTGCAGATGTTCATCCTTCTATTCTTTGTTGCCTGCTCTATTCTTTGTTGCTTGCTTCTCCAGTGAAGTCATAAGTAGATATTTGTGATAGTTACTTATCACCATGGTAACTAAAGAAGCAATGTGGTTCCTATTTCAGTTTAACTGTCAACTTTGCTCAAAGGAGAGGACAGCCTCTGGGACAGCACAGGCTCAATCATGAAAAACTATGTGTCAGGTAATAAAGGACAGCATTCCACAGGGGCTTGCTTTTAGTAGTCTCGTGTCTGCCTGTTGAGGGACCCATAGGAAAGGCCACTGTAGATCCTTATAAATGTTTGTGTGAGTGCGCACACGCGTGCATGTGTGTGCATATGCGCACATATGTGGCATAGTGTGCACGTGGAAGTCAGAAGACAGCTTGCAGGAGCTGATTCTCTCTTTCAACTGTGTGGATCCTGGTAATAGAGCTGGCTCCTGAGGCTTGGTGGCAAGAACCATCACCTACTGAGCCATCTTCATTTGATGGCTTGCTTTCTTGTTTACATTTTTATTTTTAATGTACATGTGTTTCTGTATACCTGATGCCCCATATCTGTGCAGAAACCTGGAGAGATCAGAAGAAGCATCAGATGCCCTGGAACTGGAACTCTAGATGGTGATGCGCTATCGTGTGGGTGCTGGGAACTGAGCCTGGATGCTCCACGAGAGCAGCACATGTTCTTAACCACGTCATCGGTTCTCCGCCTTCTCTTGTTGGGTTTTTTTTTTTTTTTTTTTTTTTTTTTTTTTTTTTTTTTTTTTTTCCTGAGACAGGGTTTCTCTGTGTATCCCTGGCTGTCCTGAAACTCACTCTGTAGACCAGGCTGGCCTCGAACTCAGAAATCCTCCTGCCTCTGCCTCCCAAATGCTGGGATTAAAGGTGTGTGCCACCACTGCCCGGCGGTTTTGTTTTTTAAGATTTATTTAGTTTTACTTTATGTGTATGAGTGTTTTGTTTACCTATGTGCCTGGTACATTCAGAGGTTAGAAAATAGCACTGGATCCCATGAGTTTACAGATGGTTGTCAGCCACCATATAGGTTCTGGGAATTGCACCTGGGTTCTCTACAAAAGCAGCTAATGCTTTTAACCACTGAGCCATCTCTTCAGCAGTGCCTTGGGGCCCCCCCCCCCAAGATAGTAAATCTTCATGGACTTTGCCAAGTGAACTTCCAAAGCAGTCCTAGACAGACTAACCAGAGATGCTTCTCTGCTTCATTTCATTTCTTTTCAGGGCCATAACTTGTTTGCCATCTTCCTGTACTTTGTCTTCATTGATGTGTGAAAAGGAAGTGCTAACCTTCCAATTCTAACAATCTCTTTCTTCCCTTCTAGAGACCATGGCAAGCCCAGGGAAAGACAATTATCGAATGAAGAGCTATAAGAACAATGCCTTAAACCCTGAGGAAATGAGACGAAGGAGGGAGGAAGAGGGCATTCAGCTTCGGAAACAGAAGCGGGAACAACAAGTAAGTCACCTGCAGTATTCTCAGGTGCACCTATGGGGCACTGGCCAACTTTGGGGTTGCCCTTGCCCTTCATCCTTCTCACCCTTCCTAACACTGTGACTGTATAATACAATCCTTCATGTTGTGGTGACCCCCAACCATAAAATTATCTTGTTGCTACTTCGTAACTTATGAATCATAATGTAGTTACAATACATTACAATCATGATGTATTTACAACACAATCCGTGTTTTACAATGGTTTTAGGTAACCCCTACCCCAAAGGGGTCTCAACCCATAGGTTGAAATGCTGGCATAGGGAAATGTGGTTTATCTATGTAGGAGGCTAGTCATCAAATTTGTTTCCTTGTTTGTTTTGTAGGTGGGTATGCATGTGTGCAAGGTGTGTGTGTGTGTGTGTACATTGATATTACAGGCTTCCTAGTTGTACGTTAACTTCCATCACTGAACCTGGAACCCACTGATTGGCTTGACTGGCCAGTGTGCGCTAGAGCTCCTGCCTCCTAAGTGCTGGGATTATAGCTGTGCACTGCTATACCTAACTTACAGACTGGGGTTCTGAACTCGAGTCTTCATGCTTGCTTTACAAGCATTTTACTCATTAATACATCTCCCCAGCCTTCCAGGTTCCTTTTGTAAAGAAACGTTAGAAACTTTGTGAAAGGAAAAAAACAATTTCTTAATCCTTTTCTAAAAATCAAACCAACTCCAGTGTCATTATCCTGCCTTGGAGTTGCAGCTTCCTGTTCCTCGTGTTCTCCTTGCTTGGTTGCTTGATGCATGCGTGCATGGCATGGCATGCCAGTGGAAATCAGGACAACCTCCGAGTGTCAGCTTCACCCTGAACCTTGGCTGGGCCTGGGTCTCCTTTGTTTGTGGTGTGCTGATCACTGCTGCATGTGTGGTCTATCTCCCTCCATCTGACTGCCGTGGTGCTGGGATGACAGACATCCTTTATGAGTGCTGGGAACTCAGACTTGGGTGCTTTACCTACTGTGCCATCTCTTAGCCCTGGTTTTTTTTTTTTTTTTTTTTCTTTTTTTTGAGACAGGGTTTCTCTGTGTAGTTCTGGCTGTTCTGGAACTCACTCTGTAGACCAGGCTGGCCTCGAACTCAGAAATCCGCCTGTCTCTGCCTCCCAAGTGCTGAGATTAAAGGCGTGCGCCACCACCGCCCGGCTTAGCCCTGGTTTTTGTTCATCTTTTAACATAAGTTTGTGGCTGGAGAGATGACTGAGCTGTTAATGGTACTTACTGCCCTTGGAAAGGACCTAGGTTCGGGTTTTAGCACCTACAGAGTGGTTTACAGCCATGTGTGACTCTAGTTCTAAGAGATGCATTCTTTTGGCCTCCATGGGCCCCTACATGCATGTGCTATACCTGAACTCACTCAGGCACATACATGTAAATATTTTTTTAATTTAAAAACTTGAAAAAATTATTCAGGCAGTGGTGGCTCATGCCTTTAAGCCCACCACTTAGGAAGCAGAGGTAGGTGGATTTCTGTGAGTTCAAGGCCAGAATAATCTAGAGTGAGTATCAGGACAGCCAAGGCTTCGCAGAGAAACCCTGTCTCATAAAACCAAATAAGTAAATAGATAAAATTATTCTGATAATTCCATCTTTGTGTGTAATGTATGTTGGTCATAGTTATCCTTGGTTAACTTCTCCTATCCCTCTCCTGCTGAATCCCTTCTTCCCAGTAACTCCTCCGACTCCCATCTCTCTTCATTCTGCTGTGCCCTGCTGAGTTAGTGAGGGTTGTTTGTAGGAGCATAAATAGAGGTTGTTTAATGATAACTAGGTAATTTACCAGTGGCTATACCAATGAAGAAGATTACACCTCCTCTGCCAGCATCCTTGTGCCTTCTGTCTTTGTACTACACACAATGTAGTCAGGATTTGGCATGGCCATAGAGACTTAGCAGTCATTCTGGGCTTCCTTCTGTTTTTAAGAACTGGAGAGTTTCAGTACAACCAGAGCCATATAGAAAGACTCCATTTCCAAAACAAAGAAGCATTTTTTTTTTTTTTTGGTTTTTCGAGACAGGGTTTCTCTGTGGAACCCTGACTGTCCTGGAACTCACTCTGTATACCAGGCTGGCCTCGAACTCAGAAATCTGCCTGCCTCTGCCTCCCAAGTGCTGGGATTAAAGGCATGCAGGCACAAAGAAGCACTTTGATTTCATGTATATGTGTAAGTTTTGTATGTATATGTACCTGGTGTCTGCAGAGGTCAGAAGAGGGCATTGGATTCCCCTGGAGCTACATAAGTTTCGAGCTGGGAATCGAACCCATGTCCCCTTGAACAACAACAGTTAGCCATGTCTCTAGCCTTCTGTTCTTTTAAGAGTCTTCTGTGTTAAATGTACTTAGGACAAGCCCAGCAGTGGGGGTACACACCCTGAATCCCAGTACTCAAGAGACAGAAGCAAGTGGATCTCTGAGTTTGAGGCCAGCCTAGTTTACAGAGCAACTTCCAGGGTAGCCAGGGCTACACAGAAGAAACTGTCTCCAAAAAGAAAAGTGCCCAGGCCAGAGACTGATCCGTCTTACTGTTGTCATCACCATGCACCACCAGATGTGTATTACTCAGCTCTAGATTCAGTCACATAACCTGCTTTGGTCATATTTTCTTTGTCTGCCTGGAACTCCCTCTGTAGACCAGGCTGGCCTCAGTGATCTGCCTGATTCTGCCTCCCAAGTGCTGGGATTAAAAGGTGGGCCACCACCACCTCCCTACTTACCTACCTTTCATCCTTCTTCCCTCCCTCCCTCCCTCCCTCCCTCCCTTCCTTCCTTCCTTCTTTCCTTCCTTTCTCTCTTTCTCTCTTTCTGGTTTTTTTTTTTTTTTCACTCCCCTCACCCATTACACAAAGTGCAAAGGTTTTTTTAAATATTTTTTTAAAGGCTGTGAACAGATGTATCATAGAAAATAACTGTTGAAGCCAGGCAGTGGTAGTGCATGCCTTTAATCCCAGTACTTGGGAGGCAGAGGCAGGCAGATTTCTGAGTTCGAGGCCAGCCTGGTCTACAGAGTGAGTTCCAGGACAGCCAGGGCTCCACAGAGAAACCCTGTCTCAAAAAACCAAAAAAAAAAAAAAAAAACCAACTGTTGACAGTTTCATGTCTACTTAAAGGCCGCCCTCATTTTCCTCCTGCTCATATTTTCTTGTCATTACATCATCATCTGCCTTCAGTTTGTGAGTGATGTTACCCTCTGTCTCCTCTCCTCACTTCTCAGCTTTTTAAACGGAGAAATGTAGAGCTGATTAATGAAGAAGCTGCCATGTATGATAGTCTGCTGATGGATTCCTACGTGAGCTCTACAACTGGGGTAAGCCCTTGAAGACATGGTCACAGCTGCTGTCAGGACAGAAATCAGATATGAAGCTCTCCCTTGCCTTTTGTGGACAATCTGCAAGGAATCAATCAACTCTCATGCAAATCCCTGAAGAAGCATTTAGGGAAGCTGCAGCACAACTGGGAATCACTTTTAAGTATTGTATCTTGAAGCAGACATGGATTAGATAAGCCCTCCTCCTGGATCTATTATGCCCTCCTCACCTGAGGATCTTAAAAAGCAAAATGTCGTGCAAGATTGTGTGCTCCCTTCTGGCGTTACTTTTGACCCACAAGGTCATAATCTGTTTTCTATTCTAGGAGAGTGTGATCACAAGAGAAATGGTGGAGATGCTCTTTTCTGACGATTCTGACTTGCAGTTAGCAACCACACAGAAATTCCGGAAACTCCTTTCCAAAGGTATAAAGCCCGGTCCTTCTCAGAGAGGGTTCATGTCATTTAGCCTCTTGTCCCTGTTAGTTAACTACTACCCATTTCTCATCCTACCTTTCTGGCTAGGTTTTCTTTGAATAAGTCAGGTGTATTCCCACCTTTATTCTTGATATTCCTTCTAATAATCCTTTTCCCTAAAAAAAATCTTCAGCACCTCCTTTAGCTACTTTTTTGTTTGTTTATTTTTTGTTTTTCAAGACAAGGTTTCTCTATGTAGCCCTGACTCTGACTGTCCCGGAATTCTCTCTGTAGAATTCACCAGGCTGGCCTTGAATTCACACAGATCCACCTGCCTCTGCCTCTTGAGTGCTGGGATTATAGGTGTGTGCCACCACCATCCAGCAAGAGCAGTGAATGGTGTTTGTTAGAAGGGAAATATATAGACTAGGGTTGCTCATGCCTCGGCCTCCTCTCTCTCCTTTTCTCATGTGCTTACATTTAGGAAGCCACGGGGGAGCACACCTAAGTTAGGTTGCCTTTATGCTAGTAACATGCCAAGGGAATTGCGCAGCTGTAGATGAGCAATGACAGTCTTTGGAATGTTTACAAACGTGGTCAGAGCATCTAGGATTATGAATGGATCAGTCAAATCTTGTCCTGACTTTTTACGTCTTTCCTGTCTTCCTCTAGAGCCGAGTCCTCCAATAGATGAAGTTATTAGCACTCCAGGAGTGGTTGATCGGTTTGTGGAGTTTCTGAAGAGGAGTGAGAATTGTACATTACAGGTAAAAGCTCTAAGGTGGAGTGGCCAGATGACAGTTCCTCACATGACAGTGGGCTATCTCTGTGGCGTAGCTTAAGGAAGTAGGAAAGGAATCTGGGGAAATTACCTTCCTTAAAAACAGCTTCCAGGCTGGGCATGGTAGTACAGCCTGTGCAACTAGCAAAGGGAACAAACCTGACAGTTTGAGGCCAGCCTGTTCTCCATAGTGAGTGTCTTTTTAAATGAGAGAGAGAGAGAGAGAGAGAGAGAGAGAGAGAGAGAGAGAGAGAGAGAGAGAGAGAGAGAGAGAGAGAGATATCAGACCTGATAGTGTGACCCAGGACACATGACAGGAGAGAAATGACTCTTGACTCCTGCAAGTTGTCCTCTGACCTCCACAAGCATGGTATGGTATGTAGATGAACACACAGACATAAAAAAGTTTTGAATTGTAATAATCATGTAAACCTGGCTGAGTTTCCACAGTATATATGCAGAGTCGGGGGGGGGGGAGTGGCTTTAAGCCACACTAATACTTTAAGCCAACATGCACTAATACTTTCAGCATGCAGTAGGCTGGAACATGAGGATTACCACAAGTTTGATACCAGCCTGGGCTACATAGCTAGACCTAGAAGGGGCCTGGGGGAGAGGGAGAGAGCCCATAAAGGAAGTTTTTCATTTCAGAGATCTGAGAATGTGATACATTGTTCCATTATAAATCAGAGAGTCTAGTGCACCTGTAACTTACCTTGATGCAAATCGCTCACTGTGTCTGAGGTTCTGTTTTCCAGAGACAGATGATAAGCAGATCCATCAGAAGTTGCTTAAAACACAGCAGAGAGTAGGTGGAGATGTAGGTGTGCTGGCTCATACCTGTAGTTCCAGCATGTGGGGAACAGAGGCAAAAAAGCTCAAGGACAGCCTTAGCCACAGAGTAAGACCTTAGAGGGGAAAACTGGGGAGGAAGGAGTACACCATCATTCTTACCCTTGTTCCCAGACGAAACCTCCTGGGTCACTAAAGCCCAGTCCACCTGTCTTCACATGTGTGGCATGCATCACTACTCTGCTGGAACTGAAGGGTGGCAGGATGGACATGTTTAGTTTGGGCTTCTTTATGTGCTAGAGATTGGCTGCTGTGAAGCAGGTGGTAGGTAGGACTGCTCAGTCTGCAGTGACCTCTCAATTGTGCCATGATCTCCCTTTCAGTTTGAAGCTGCCTGGGCTCTAACAAACATTGCCTCTGGAACCTCTCAGCAGACCAAAATTGTCATTGAAGCAGGAGCTGTCCCCATTTTTATAGAGCTGCTTAACTCGGACTTTGAAGATGTACAAGAACAGGTAATACTCATGATTTGGTTAATGTTTTGATGGTACTGACAATATAATAAAAAACAAATATTAATGCATATTTGGAGAAATATGGAGACTTGAGCGAGGCTTGGTGTGATGCTCCATGTATGAAGATTGGTTAGCCTGTGACCCTTACACAGGAATGGAAGTGGTGATGGGTCTGTCTCTTTTACCTCATGTGGATCTGGTCCAAGGTGAAGAGGGTCAGAACTTCACTTCTCTTTCTCCCTTCCTAATGGAAGGGATGGTGAAGTCTGTGGTGTCTCTGGCTTCAGTTCATATGACAGCCTGTCTTTCCCACTAAACCAGGGCCTCCTGGGGAGAAGCTCTCACAGAGCAAGCACTCAGCAAGAATAACTGTAGACCCTAGAATCTCGGTAGCTCACGTCAGTGTGTGGTCAAGCCTGGTGCTGTCCTCATCCTGACACACCACTTTGTAGCACTGAATATAGTAGTCACAGAAGCTGCAGGCTCAGGGTGATAGTTCTCCCTTCCCTTTTCAGGCAGTCTGGGCGCTTGGAAACATAGCCGGAGACAGTTCGGTTTGCAGAGATTATGTCTTAAATTGTTCCATCCTTAATCCTTTGTTAACGTGAGTAATTAACAGCATCTGTACCTGGGGGATCTGTAGGGCGGCTAAGTGGCAGTGCATTTGGAGGGGAAGTTTACTTGATCCCTTAAGATAATAAATAAAGCCCTGGGTAGTGGCACACACCTTTGGTCCCAGCACTCGGGAGGCAGAGGCAGGCGGATTTCTGAGTCTAAGACCACCTTGGTCTACAAAATGAGTTCCAGGATGACCAGAGTTACACAGAAAAAAGCCTATCACAGAACAAAACAAACACAAATAATGAGGCCCAGCATAGTGATACCTGCCTTTAATCCTAGCCCATGGGAGGCCAGCCTAGTCTACATTAGCAAGTTTCAGACCAGCCAAGACTGAACAGTCACCTTTTTCAAGAACAAAATAGTTCTAGGGTCTGGGTTATCTTCTAGGGTTTATGGGCAACAGCCCTGTGCTAGAACACTAGGATATCAGTGCTCAGATTATGGCTTTATTGTCTACAGACTCCTTACTAAGTCCACACGACTGACGATGACACGGAATGCAGTTTGGGCCCTCTCAAACCTCTGCCGAGGGAAGAATCCTCCTCCAGAGTTCGCAAAGGTGAGAGCTACTTACTAGCTGTGATTCCAGATTCCATCATAGGATTTCCTTTTAAGTTTTGGGAAGACCCATGAGAGTCTCAACTCATGTGAAAGTGAAAGGCAATTGTCAGTGTAGAGGACGATGTTGTGTACCAGGGTAGGAAAGTGAAAAGGTGGTCCTGCGGGTTTGATGGCATTCCCAGGGTGTAGAATTCCATGTTGGGAAGGGGTAGCCATGGTAGGCTTAGTGATAGAGCTGGTGCAGCCCTAGGATCAGTCCTCCTCACTCTGCTTCCAACAGGTCTCTCCTTGTTTGCCTGTCTTGTCCCGCCTACTCTTCAGCAGCGACTCAGACTTGCTGGCAGATGCTTGCTGGGCTCTCTCTTACCTGTCTGATGGCCCCAATGAGAAGATTCAGGCAGTCATAGACTCTGGAGTCTGCCGGAGATTGGTAGAACTTCTGATGTGAGTGGTTTCAGTTCAAGAGGGTGAAAGTTTTCTTAGCTTACCAAGGTCAAAGAGCTCTAACCAAAATGAGGCATGGTGGTGTGGCTGTAATCCCAGCGTTTGGGAGACTGAGTCAGGGGAATAACAAATTCAAGGTCAGGGTGGACTGCAGTATAAAGACTGTCTCACAGAACAAAGCAAGAAAGTACAAACAGCGGGTTGCTGACCCACCCAAAGGTCTGAAGCTGCAAGGAAGACTGCCAGTGTTGGTTTCGGCAGGGCTGAAGGGGATGTGCTGTTTCTCCACTGATAGCTGTTTTCCCTCTGTAGGCACAACGATTACAAAGTGGCATCTCCTGCTTTGAGAGCTGTGGGTAATATTGTCACTGGGGATGACATCCAGACCCAGGTGAGGAAGAAGAGGGGTGGAATCTTAGCTCAGGTCAGCTGTGGGAGGACCAAAGTCTTCCTATGTAACTGCATGGTCTATCAGAGAAAGCATGACTTTAAGTAGTTTTAGCACCGGCAGTCTCTGTGTTATCACAATTCCTTCTTCTCTTAAACAATTAGAAACAAATCATCTGATTGGTACTTGTGCAAAGAAAGCTAAGTGGAATGACTGGATTTACTGGAACAGTGTGAGGAACGAAGTCTGGTCTGTGATCCTTTTGAGACATGGAAAGCTGTTGGATCACCAATACTTCTAGACCTTTATGGTCTTGTAGACATTACCTCACGGTAAATTCATGTTAACCTTTTGAGCCATGTGGCACATACCATAATCCTAGCACTTAGGAGTTAGAGATAGAAGGCTCAGCATGAAACCCTATCTCAAAAAACCAAAAATATGAAAAATATTTTCTATAAACCAGTAGCAGAGTTAGGGGTCTTGCGCCTATCATGTGTGCTAATAGATAATCGATAGTCTCCTTGGAGAAATGTCTGTTCAAGCCCTTTGCTCATTTTTAGTTTGATTGCTTAGGGTAAGAGTTCTTCATAGAGCTGGAGAGATGGCTCAGAGGTTAAGAACACTAGCTGCTCTTCTAGAGGTCCTGAGTTCAATTCCCAGCAACCACATGGTGGCTCACAACCATCTGTAATGGTCTGAAGACAGTGACAGTGCACTCATATAAATAAAAAAGTCTTTAAAAAATAAAAAAAAGAGTTTTTATATTCTGCATATTAACTCTTACCAATACATGTTTTGTTTTGCAAGTATTTTCTAATATTCTGCAGATTTGCTTTGCACTGTTTATGTTGTCTTGATGCATATCATTTTTAATTGGATTAAGTATCTAATTTTGATACATTCCTTATGCTTTTGTGTTTTAGGTCATTCTTAACTGCTCAGCCCTCCCTTGCCTCCTCCACCTGCTGAGCAGCTCTAAGGAATCAATCCGTAAGGAAGCTTGCTGGACCATTTCAAACATCACTGCTGGCAACAGGGCTCAGATACAGGTAGATTTACTTCGAAAAACAGCATTTTTCCCATTAGAAACTGGAGCCAAGGCAAAGGGCAAGCGGCGTAGCTCGGCAGTAGGATGCTCGCCCAATTGAATTGCTTGGTTCAATGCCCAACACCACCAAAACAGTTGAGGGCAGCATAACCAGCTGGTCATAGTGGCAGCTAGGTGCCCCACACCTTATCCCTCCTCTAGTAAGAACAAAGAACTTGTAGGTGGGTTAACAGAAAACAGTGTGAGTTGTGATTCTTACACTAGGTTTGCTCTTTCTTCATCTTTTGCTTTGAGACAATGTGTCAGGTAGCCCGGGCTAGCCTCAAATGACCTTGAATTCATAATCCTTCTGCCTCCACCTTCCAGGTATTGGAATTACACAAGAATATGTCACCATGCCTGATCCTTCTGCTTTTTTTCCTTAAACTGTCTTTCTGCTTCCTTCCTCATCTCTCTTTCAGGCTGTCATAGATGCAAATATCTTCCCTGTATTGATCGAAATCCTTCAGAAAGCAGAGTTCCGTACAAGGAAAGAAGCAGCCTGGGCTATCACGAATGCCACGTCAGGAGGAACCCCTGAGCAAATCAGGTAGGAGTCCTTTCCTAACGTCTTAAAATGATATGTGTGCTCTCTTTTGTTCATGGTTCTCATATGACTTTAAATGGCTTTTGATGGGAAAAGTCTGACCTAGTCTAACCGTATTAAGGTTTAACTAGTAAGCTGCTAAGTGATCTTGGACTCTGCAGTAGATTCCTGTGTTGATTGTTTTAGTTTTTATTTATTTTATGTTTGTTAGTACACTCTCGCTGTCTTCAGACACACCAGAAGTCAGTGGATCCTATTAAAAATGGTTGTGAGCCACCGTGTAGTTACTGGGACTTGAACTCAGAACATCTGGAAGACCAGACCAGTCAGCACTCTTAACCACTGAGCCATCTCTCCAGCCCGATTGCTGTATTGTTGATGGTGGTTGTTTTTCTTGAGACAGAATCTTAAGACAGGCTGACCTATCCTACCACTGCCTCCCAAGTGCTGGGATTATGTGCATACATGTTTATACCCAGCTAAGTCTTGGAGTTTTTTGTTTGTGTTTTGTTTTGTTGAGATTAGGGTTCTCTGTGTATACTAAGCTCTCCTTGAGTTTAGACTCCTCTTGCTTTAGACTTTCAGGGGCTGAGGACATGCCTTATCCTCCAGTTTGTACCTATGCCCCTTTATTCTGGTGTTCATCATCTGAACATTAGGAGGAATCATACAGGTTGGATGTGTCTTTCCCCCTAATTTTAACTTAACTAAAGGGAATAAAGTCTGTACATACTAAAGTCTCAGGAGAAAGGAAGAACCATTGAGTTAAACATTAAAAGGAAAATATAAGGTGAACATGATGGTGTACAACTTAAGTCTGAGGACACTAGAGGCAGAGACAGGTAGATCTCTGAATTCAAAGTCAGCCGATCTGTGTAGGGAATCCCAGGTGAGCTAGGGCTACATAGAGAAACCATGTTTAAAAAGGGTGCCAGGGCCAGGGAAGAGGGTTAAATATAGCATTATAATAGTTATAATCTCCAAGAATCAGAAATCTGGAGATCTTCTCAAATTTGACCATAATTTAATAACCTCAGAATGGAATATTCTGAGTAGTGCTAAAGAGGTAGGGGCCAGATGGTAGACAGTCTGTCCTGACATACCATAGAAGTTGTATTCAGGGGAGTAAGGAACCTGAGGATTTTCTTAATGTGTCTAGAGTTACAACATTGTAGCCAAGGTGACAATAAGACTCTGTTCATTAGGGAATAGATCAGTGACAGAGAGGGGGTAAAGATAAGAAGGTAAAGGCTAGGTGGTTATTCAGACTCAGGAAGAATGCCTTGTTGGGAGTATCAGTGTGTATGAGGGAGACCCACAGGTCAAACCACCTGGTGCACTCTACGTGTTCTGCATTAATGTGGAGCGTCCGTCTCTCTGGTCCCCAGGTACCTGGTGTCACTGGGCTGCATTAAACCCCTGTGTGACCTGCTGACTGTAATGGATTCAAAAATTGTGCAAGTGGCCCTCAATGGACTAGAGAACATTCTGCGGCTTGGAGAGCAGGAGGGCAAGCGCAGTGGCTCAGGGGTCAATCCCTACTGTGGCCTCATCGAGGAAGCCTACGGTAGGTTCCCTCCCTGACCCCATGTGTCTGTCAGTGGGGAAGATGGTGGACCACATCCACCGTTTTGTGGTTTTTTATTTTTTACTACATTTATTTATCCATTCGTGTATGCGTGCATGTATAAGTATGGGCATACATGATATGTGCATATGGAATGAAGGTCAAAGGACAACCTGAAGGAGTCAGTTCTCTCCCTTTACCATGTGGGTCCCTAGGGTTGAACTCAGATTTGGCAGCAATCATGTATCTGCTGAGTCATCTTTCCAGCCCTTGAGTCTGTGCTTCTAAAACCAGTGACAAGTTCCTGTCCAGCCAAGCTATCCTAAGCACAGTGTTTTAGACCTTTCCTTGAGAGTAGCGGACATGTACTGACTAGCCGGGTAGATAGAAGTAATTGTTATCACTGCCAAGTTTCCTTGTCCCACCATCTCCTGCTCCCTCTGAGGAGCCATATGAGAACAGTGCTGTTCTCACAGGCGCCACCTACCTCAAAAGCAGATACAGTACAATGTATGCAATGAGGAACAGGGCAAAATTTGGTACTACTACCAGGAGCTAGAAGACATGCGTCTCAACAGTCTCTCCTGTAAAAATTCTGGATTGCCTTAACTAACCCATCTCAGAAAAGGCAAATCATGATTTGCCCAGAGTTAGCTTACAACAGAATCAGTCTAGAACCTCTAATCAGTTGTATTGTGCATGTGTGTGTAGGCCAGAGGTCAGTTTGAGGCATTGTTCCTCAAGAGCTATACACCTTAGGGTTCCCAAGCCCACCAGTAAACAAACCCCAGGCGGTTTGTCTCACCTGTATCCCCTCCACGCCTGGCTCGGGCTACAACTCCCTGCCACCATACCTAGCCTTGTGTCTGGGGAGAACTCATGTTTTCAGGGCAAGCACTTTACACAAGTCGGGCTGACATGCTCCCTGCTTTTGTTTGGGAACTTGTACTTTAGGAAAGGAAAGGTACATACCTGTTTTCTTCTTACACCATAGGCTTGGATAAAATTGAGTTTCTCCAAAGCCATGAGAACCAGGAAATCTACCAGAAGGCCTTTGACCTCATTGAGCACTACTTTGGTGTGGAGGATGACGACAGCAGCCTGGCTCCTCAGGTGGATGAGACGCAGCAGCAGTTCATCTTCCAGCAGCCTGAGGCCCCCATGGAGGGCTTCCAGCTATAATGTCTGCCTCCGGGGAGGGGAGGGCATGGGAAGCACCAGCAGCCAGCAGAGGAGCAGCCTTCTGGTGGGCAGGAGAACAGCCACCCCACCCACACCTGCTGCCCTGGAGACTGTGCTCTTGACCTGCTCATCCCCTTCCCTGGAGGGAGCGCCCTCTGGACAGACAGAACCATCTGAGGCTCACATTGGGTTTTGAGACAAGAAGGGGACGTGTGGGTTTCTCTTGCTTACACTTTATTTTGGCTGCACACATGTCTTTAACCCAGGAGCCCAGGGGCAGACAAAGGAGGACTGAGGTAATCAATTTGCACCTTTAAATTTTTTTTCTTTTATTTTCTTTAGTGGTGACTTCCCTCCCAATTATCTTTCTTCATCCATCCCAGTCCTCTGCCCTGACGTGTGTAACTCTTGGGTACTTGAGCAGATGGAATATTCCAGAGGTGGGAGGTGGGAGGGGAGGGGAGAAGTCCGAAACAAAGTGTTCTTGCTCTGACCGAATATTAATCTTGTATGCTTGGATTATTTAATTTTTTCTTTTGCACATTTTTCTTCTATTAAGGTTGTTCTTCCCAAAAAGCTGGATTTAGGAACCCAGCTGCCAGCATTGTCTGGAAATAGAGGCTAATGGGGAGGCCCCCATGAAACAAAGGTCCCTCCCTCCCTCTGACCCTACGCCTAAGACCTCTTTAGTTTGGGAGGATCCCTCCGTCACTCTCCTGGAGCAAGTATACCAGTGGAGTGGAAGGGAGGGGCACAGGCCTTTAGACAGGGCTTCTCCTGTGTAGCTACTGACCCTGTTTCCTACCCACTTCCTAAATGGTGCGACCCAACTTCATTTGTTTACTTGAAAATTCACCTCAGAGTTGAATGAACCTCTGAGGTGGCTGTGTTTTCTCCTGAGCTTGAGATGGGGGGCTGTGGTCCTTCCTTCTCCTGAGGAGAAAGTCCTTGCTCTGATGACCCCTAAGTTGCAGAGGAGGTTGGAGTTAGTGTCGTGGATTGGGATAGTCATGAATCCCTGCCTTTGGCCTTTCTTCTTCCTTCTGCCATCGCTGGATCATGTATATTTCACTTCCAAAGGAGAGAATGTCAGAAAGTTCTGGGTTTTTTTGGTTTGTTTTTGTTTTTGTTTTTTTGTTTTTTGTTTTTTTTTTACTAGTCTGTATTTTAAGTAGGTCAGTCTTAATTGGTCTTAGGAGGACAAACTGGATGTGAGTGGGATACTGTGAGGAAGACCAGGAAGATGTACATCTTTCTGCTCAGAGGACTGAACTCGGGCCTTTTTTTCTCTGCTTGTATTCTGGGCCACCACTTGGGACCAACTCTCACTTCTGGAACCTTTATGAAGTAAATCAGCTGGATCTGATTGTTCCCAACCTGAAGGGAGCAAGGAGGGCCTCAAGGCCCGGTGAAGTCTGCTACTCTCTTCCTTGCTTCTAAGCAGAAAACATCCTGCCTTCTCTAACTCAGTGTCAGCCACTGTTACCCACACTAAGTCATGACACAGCTGCCTCTCCTGTTACCAGAGAACCCTGTCAGCACCTCCCTTCTGAGGGTCCTCGTCCTTGGCTTGCATTTCCCGTTTCCTGAGAGTTATATAGATCCTTCTCTCCCCCTCCCTTTCCCTCACCCCACTCCTCCCTCCCTCTCCCTCACCCCACCCCCTCTCTCAGTAAAGCCAGTTCAGTGCCTCAGAGGCTGGCCTATATTTTAAGGGGTTACACAGTTCACTAAATGGGAGCTCTGAGAGCTGGTAGTGGGTGCATTGTCAGCGAGGTAGACCACCCGTGGAGGTGGCTGCACAGTGCCCCATTGTGGTACCCCACACACCCTTACCTGCACTTTTCTTTCTCTAGACCAGCACTGTTGTATTCCTGCCCTACACTTGCAGATCTAACGTTCAGGTTCTTGCTGCTGGCCTCTGCCTTTCCCTCTCCCGTCTGTCCTTTAGTTTTCAGTCCCTGCTCCAGATTCCTCTAAAAAAGTAGTTCAGGGCTGGTAGTAGATACTGAAAGGTTCAATCAACATTGGACCACGATGGTGAGTGCCTTCTGGGAAGGCAAGGCGCTGGGCCTTTTTTTTTTTTTTTTTAAAACCTGGCTGAAACTGCTCCTAACTAGTTCCAACAAGGAAAAGTCCTCTGACGCCATCATCACCCTTATCTGAAGAGTAGAACAAGTGACAGGACCCTGGCCCTGGAGCTAGATTCTCAGCATGAAACACAAATATTATCCTTTCTCTGCCCTTTCTCCAATATGTCGGGCTTCAGAGCAGATCCTGAACCACATGGAAGAGGTTGGTTATCTGGCTGCTCTAGGTGTGTTCCACACAGATCATCTTGAGTGACTGACAGTCTGCCCAGACTAGCTTCAGTTTCCAGCTCTTCCCCAGTGACTACAGCCTGGATGTTGGTTGCAGCCTTTTGGTATAACCATCTGAGTTCCACCCTGCTTGGCACCATTGTTTCTTGGGTCTATGCATACAAGTGCTTCCAAGGAGCAGGTATTGATTGATAACCTGGTTTTGGAGACCTTTGGTGTTCCCCTTTACCTGGGACCTTATATCAACTACTTCTCCTTCCTTTTGGACCTGGGAGTCATCCCCAGGAGCCTGTGTTCTGAAGCTAGCCATGGGTTAGAGCTGCAGTTGTATTTAGCTGAGGGAGAGGAAAAGAAGGTGCTTACGCATGGAGTTTCTTTCTCTGAAACCAAGCCGGTACAAAGACACACTTCTACATGGAAGAAGTGTGTTTCTACTTTTGTCTGCCTGTGAAGCTAGCAGCTCCCTCTCGGAGCTCCACATGTCCTGAAGGCCACTGCTCTTTCTGTTCAAACCTCAGCTGCTCTTCTCTTCCAGGCTCACTCATTTTGGTATTCATCCTCTTGGGTACTCTTCAGGCTTAGATTCTAACTTCTCAAACCCCCCCCCCCCCAGAAAAGAAAAGAAAAGAAAAAAAACCTGCTCCAGGTCCCTGCAGACCCAGGAAGGAGACAGAATGGTGGCAAGCTTCCCGAGCAGGCTGGGGAAGTGTGCAAGGTTAGGTGCACTGAACCATAGATTGTGAGCAGCGGCAGCTTCAAGCGACACTTCCCGAGAGGTGGTAAGAGACAGACTTCCTGGTACATTCTAGACTAACCTCATCCAGTATTTTTTGTTTTACCTTTTGTATTTTGTTAAGCCAACCGAGAATTTGCCCCTCTAAGGATCCATGTGGCGGATACTAGCTGCTCTTTGGCCAAAGGCTTCATAGCTGATTCCCTCTCCCAGTCTATCCTCTAGTCCCACCACAGAATAAGACATGCATGGCAAGGGAAGAATCTAAGGTCAACTCCAACCAAATCTGAATGAAAATGTATTTTCTTTTTGAGAGAGCATCTTGTCTGAAGCCTGAACTATGTGCAGGACCAAAGCTGGCTGTGAGAAGAGCAGCCAGAAACCTGGGACCCCGATTACCAGAGGGGAAACGCTCTTTTGACATGTCTTCAAGGGCTTGGGCATATCTCCCTACTTCTAGGCCAGCCTGACTTCTGATGCTCACACTAGCACGGACTGATGATGCCCACTAGTCCTGCACGCCTGTGGGCTCTGATTTTAAGGTTTCGGTTTAGAGAAAGAAACAATGTAGCATGCGCAGGGAGCCGTGAAGGAGGACTGAGACGGCCTGGAAACCTGTCGGTTCACACCACGAGCCCTCAGAAGCTGCACATGGGTATTGACTTTGTTAGCCAGCTTTTTTGGGAAATGCCTTTTTTGACCTATTATATAAATGAAGTGGGTATGAGGTCTCAGTTACCCAGCAGATGGAACATCGCCCAAGGACAGCTTGGGTTTCCAGGTAAGAACCCTAGAAAGGTGAATATAATCCTCACAGGTTTTGTTTTCCAAATTCATTTGCTTTTATTTTTCTAAGAACTGTAAACTCTATTTTTTCATGTTCTCAGGGCCCCTGGGTAGACAAAGCTTGATTTCAGAGCAGAACTAGGCCAAGAATCCATGGCATTGAGTGTGCTGAGTCCAGACAAATGATATTTATATACACATCCAAATTTGAAGAGGAAATGTATTTCTTTAGGTTTCAAACACTGTAATAGATACAAAGCAAAAATAAAAACCTGTTGCAAAGTTCTAAATTGTCTTCTTTGGTTTGGAGTGACCCTGGACTGGGAAGTAAACATGAGACGTGGGCTATAGATGGTAGAGCACTTAGCTAGCATACCTGAAGCCCTGGATCCAACCCTAGGTATCACGGAAGCCAGACACTGGCTCATAGGCATTAGCATGTCAGTAGAGTAACAGTTATATCAGATTGTTGGGGTGGGAGGGAGAGTCATTTCTAGAAGTAAACTTTAAAATTTCTCCTTGATTACCAAAGCTCAAGGAAATCATAAAACATTGGATCACACCCGGTCACCAACAGACATTCTCAACTTTTGCTGTGTGACTTTGAAATCCGGCACTCAGTCATCTACTCAGTGACTCAGTCATCTCCTCAGTGTCGAAGCCAGTGTCAGTGCTGCTGTCAAATGGTGAGATCTGGCTGTGTGAGACTGAGTTTTGGCCAAGATGGTGACACATGCCTCGGACCTCAGCACTTGGTGGGAGAGGCAGAGCCAGGAAGGTCAGAAGCTCAAGATTACTGGCTACCTAGTAAGTTCAAGACCAGATAGGCTTACATGAGTTCGTATCGAGGGGAAAAAAGCTGCCAAGCAGTTGGTGGGGCTAGAGGCAGAGGCAGGCCAATCTCTGTGATGGTCTACACAGTTCCTGGACAGCCAGAGCTATATAGACTTTCATTAAGGGTGTGGAGGGAGGAAGTTATGAACTTGCACCTAACAGTGGGAATGACAGTTACATCAAGGTGCTGGAGGAGGGTGTGTATTTCTCCAGCTGGGGTTGAGGCAGAACTGCATGAATCTAGGAGTTTAAAGGCCAACTGGACAACCTAACAGCCAAGGTGCATGTACATGCATTTGAGGCCAGAGGCAGTGAGTCTTTTAGAGACAGCTCTACTCTGTCCAGTGGTGGGATTACAGTCTCACCCTGATGCAACCTGCTTTTTTGTAACCTGGGTGTTTACAGGTGTTGCCTAAGGCCATCAGAAAACATTTAGATTATGATTCAAAGCAGTAGCAAAATTATAGTGATGAAATAGCAACGGAAATAATTATGGTTGGAGGTCACAACTGTATGAGGAACTGTATTAAAGGACCGCAGCATTGGGAAGGTTTAGAACCACTGCTTCTGAGTACCCTCTCTGTATGGAATTTGGTAAAGACCTGATGTAGATGCTACCTCTAGAGATTTCCAATATGTTTACTGGGAAGCAATCAGGGCGTTGGTTTCCAGATACCTTTAATCCAAACCTTTCTGAGATTCAGTTCCCTCAGTAAACTGGTAAAATGTTAAGGCCTTCTTGTTTAAGCTTTCATCACTCTGGGTAAGTGCTCTGACACACTACGTTTATTATACAGTATTTCCTCTCATAGTTACATGTCAACAGACAGAACACTACTGAGTCTGATTGACAGACCTAGTACAGAGAAATGGACACCATTTAAGAACCCTAAAGCAAAGCCCAATTGGCACAATTTGCAACATGCTCTACCCCACAGCCTGACTTGAGCCTCTGAGACTGCTGCATTTAGCCAACAGTAATTTCAACACTTCGTGGCTAATGAACATAACAGAAGCCTATAACCAAAGCCTAACCAGACCTAGGGAACTAGTTGTTTTGTTTTTAAGTTAGCCTTTTCCATACTGTCATATTTCCCAGATCACTGAGTATTCTGTACTTTCTCTGAGTAATTATGAGGGCCAAGCTATTGGATACAAGGAAAAAAATAAGTTTTACTTATAAACTTTTTGCTGGAATAGAGGGGGGAAAAGAATGCCAGACACATAACAAATTAGTGTTTTAGGTGTGGGATAAAGATCTCCTAATTCACAATTTACTCTTCTATCCATCTTCTGAGTCCTCAGAGGTCCTAGGAAGTCATACACGTTCATACGGAACTAATGGAAGAGTGTATGAAAAAAATGCCAGACTGCCAAAGTTTAAGAACCAATCATAACTTCTGCACTAGAAAAGAGGCTGACGCGAATCTCTAGACCGAATGACGTAATTTCGGACCCTCGGGGTGTTTGGCTTCTATGCTTTTCGGTAGCATCTCGGGAGTTGTGCCCCGCCGCGAGGCATGAAGGGACTCGTAGTTTTTCCCACTCCCGCCTCCAAGGCCGCCTTTACTTCTTTTTTCCCAGCAAGCTCTGCGCCAACGTTTGCTGTTGATTGGCTGCTGCAGGAGAGGGCGGTCCTGCTGGCAGCAGTTACCCAGGTTTCCGGTGCTCGACCAGAGAGGTGGGCGCCGTCGGACGTCCGCCGTGAAGTATGACTATGGGCTGTACATGGGACGAGCTCTTCAGTGGGTCTGTGGCCCAGGATGCGTTGGCCTCAGAGGAACAACTAATTCGGTGGCTGGGGGGGTGGGGGAGTCCTGCCGCCGTATTGCGCATGCGTACTTCTTTCTAGAGGGCGCGTGGGGTGTGGGTATCGTGTATGCGCGCGCGCGCGGGAATCCCACGTGGGACCTGGTGGGGCGGGGGGTCGGTCGGGACTGGAGCATCCCGCCACGTCAGTCTGCGGCTCTGAGCCAATCCCGCGCTCCGGCTGCCGAGAGGGAGCCGTGTGGTGCTGAGAAGTGGCATTCGGGAGAAAGGAGGCCTCTTCCTTCCCTCACTCTCTAAAGGGCCAGCTTCTCGGAAACCTTGCACGGGACCGTGAAGTCTCTGGCGAAGGCCGACCAGTTTGTTTGAAGCTTCGAGCGTCAGATTTTGGGATTTCTTATCTAGGTTGTGAAGAATTTTCAAGTCTAGAAAATAGCAACTGTGTCTGTAAAGGATCTGCCCCTTTTCTGGCCTTGCAGATCACAATGAAGAACCAAGACAAAAAGAATGGGCCTGGCAAACACTCCAACCCGAAGAGCAGCCCGGGGCAACGGGAAGCAGGACCGGAGGGAGCCCATGGACGACCCAGACAGACAGCTCCTGGGGCGGAAGCTGAAGGTTCCACAAGCCAGGCTCCTGGGAAGACCGAGGGTGTGTGCCAGCTCTGCTTTTCCAGTGGGCAGAGGGAGGAGTTTCTGGTACTGGCCTTGCTTCTGAGGCCAGTGTTTACCCAAGAAGGAGGAACTATAGAATGAAACAATGCCTATTCTGTGTGATCCTGTGTTTCCTGGGGAGGTGATGAAGCTTCCCACTCTTAGCCCTGGAATGGAACCTTGGGAGCATGCTCTGACTGGTTTAAACCAAATGACAATCAAATGAGACACCCTGTAAGCAAAGTCATATTCCTACTTGGCAGTGGTGGGTAATTGTCCTTAACAAGGTAGAGCTGCTACATGCCAACTATCCCTCTTGCGGGGGTGCTTTACACAGTTGTCTTTTATGGTCATCACAAGTATGTTTGGGTGTTAGAAATAATTGCATCGTTTTATAAGTAAGTAGACTTAGGGTTTAAAAAAATTAAATTGAAGCCAGGCATAGTGCCCCTCACCTTTGTTCCCAGAACTCAGGAGGCAGACACAGGCAGATGAACTCTGTGAGTTTGAGATCAGCCTTGTCTGCATAGTGAGTTCCAAGTCAGGCAGGGCCCTGTAGAGAGATCCTGCCTCAACTGAATAAGTAAACATTATTTAACCCACACTAGTGTGTTTATCTGGGCTTAAAGAAAAAGAAGATTCAAGCAAGTGGTGTTACCACTGAACTTTCATTCTATGTCTTCATCTTTCTTGCTATAGGGGCTCGAGCTAAAGCAGCTCCTTCTGGGGTCCTCTGTGACGTCTCTGAGGAGCTGAGCCGGCAGTTGGAAGACATTCTGAGTACATACTGTGTGGACAACAATCAGGGAGGCCCAGGAGCAGAGGGAGCACAAGGTGAACCCACTGAGCCAGAAGACACAGAGAAGTCCCAGACCTATGCAGCCAGGAATGGCGAGCCTGAATCGGGTATTCCAGTAGTCAATGGCGAGAAAGAGACCTCTAAGGGGGAGCCTGGCACAGAAGAGATCCGAGCAGGTGATGAGGTCGGAGACCGAGACCATCGAAGGCCACAAGAAAAGAAGAAAGCCAAGGGTCTAGGTGAGAGGGGAGTTACCGGTGAGGGAGGGAATTAAGACCTGTTATTTCATGGGATAGCTTGCTCCGTCAGGACTAAAAGGAATCTGCTTTTCAAGACAGTACATCCCCCAGTTTAGTCGTAGACAGGGTCATAGCATTGAGCTGTTCAGATCACTGACTTGGGCAAGGCCTCCTGGCATTGGCAGCAGGTGCAGGCAGGAATCCAGCTAGCTTTCTCACTGAGGATATGGAGAATAGGAGGCCTAAGTGCTCGCCAGCACCACTTTTAACCTGCTGCTGCTGGACGTGTTTATTCTCCACTCCTGGGCCTTAGTTTCCCTGTTCTACAGCAATAGAATTAGGCTGCACCAAGGTTGAAATATCAATTATTAACATGAACCAGTTAACCACAGACCTCTTCAGAATCAAGCCTTCTTGATCTAAAAAATGGACTCCTACCTGGTTAGTCCCCCACTCTCATCTGACCAGCTGAATAATTGGGAACCAGAATAATAGAAACCCAACAAAGTCATCCATTGGTTGGATTTGTCATCTCCCTGCTAATCTCTTGGGCCTGACAGTTCAGGAACCTGGTCTATGCTGACTGAGTACAGTGGAACCCAAGGAGACAATTGTAAGACTTCCTGGCTGAGGTAAAGGCAGTGGCAGCCAGGCATGGTGGCATACACCTTTAATCGCAGCACCTGAGAAGCGGGGACAAGTGGATCTCTTGAGTGCCAGACCAGCCAACTGCATAATGAAACCTAATCTCAAACAAATAAAAGACAGAGCAATGGCAGTCCTTTGACAGGAGTGGTGGGGTAATATGAAAATATGAACTTAGAATCTCATGCAAACCAAAAGTGGTAGTATATGCCTCTGATGGGGGACTAGGAGGAACAGAGGCAGAAAGACTGAGTTCAAAGCCAGCTTGGGCTACATAGCAAGACCCTCTCTCTTTCGTGTGTGTCTGTGTGTGTGTCTGTGTCTATGTCTGTTGACAGAAGTTTGGCTAATTTCTCAAGAGACATCAGACAGTAGCCCTGGGTTTGTTGATAGGCTTCCCTTTCTCCTATTCATAATGTCTTCAGATAGGTTTTCCTCTCCCTGGCAGTGCTTGCCAAAGAGATTGATCTGCCCATCGAGTGAGCATCTGGTAGTAGCACTACAGTGGTAATGTGCATTGAAGCTGCAGGACTGAGCTGGTCGTGATTCCTTATGAAGCACCAGTGTAACAGGAAAACTGCCTTAGAACTCAGAAGTGTAGGCTTGGGCCTAAAGGGAACCCTTAAGAAGTGGGGTGTGTCTTTACTCCCTGTGCTTTTCAGGGAAGGAGATCACTTTGCTGATGCAGACACTGAACACGCTGAGTACCCCAGAGGAGAAGCTGGCTGCGCTGTGCAAGAAGTACGCTGAGCTGGTCAGTCTCTCCCCCACCCCCTTTTCCTTCTGTACCCTCCCTGCCTTTGGAAAGTCAGCAGGCTACCTAGGGTAGGGGTTGGTGTACAAGAACACATATTGGCTTAATTTCTGTTAACTTTTTAAAAAATTCTCCCACCCCTGTTAAATGAGAAGTTAGTTTCCAGGCAGTATCCAGGAGAAACTTTGTAAGTAAATTTCCCAATGATTTCGGGTATAGAACGCTGGTGTTGGTCCAGGATATTGTGTACTTGTATCTTTGTGTGTTTCTGCGTACATCTCCCCAAAGCGTTCTGCCTCTTGATTTGTCAGCTTTGGGGTGGCACTCGTTATTTTACCTCCTTAGCTCTTCGTCCTGAGTGAAGTGAAAGTTAGCTCTAGGGCCTTGATCCACTGCAGGCTCAGATCTTGACAAGGTAATGACCTCCATGCTGCATCATGAGAAATATGTTAATTCCTGGAGGATCCCGAATTCAAGGCCAGCCTGTACTACATGACCTTGTCTTGAAAAAGAAATGCTAGCTGGGCAGTGGTGGCGCACGACTTTCATCCCAGCGCTTGGGAGGCAGAGGCAGGCGGATTTCTGAGTTCGAGGCCAGCCTGGTCTACAGAGTGAGTTCTAGGACAGCCCGGGCTATAAAGAGAAACCCTGTCTCGAAAGACAAAAACAAAAAAAAAAAAAAAAGGAAAAGAAAGAAAAAGAAATGCTAAATGTGGTCTTGCCACCTCTCTCATTGTAAATGTGGAGTGGGTTGGGGGTAGAGAGATACAGAGAGAGGAGTAGAGGAGGGGCAGGTGAGGGAGCTCAGTGTTTAAAAACAGTGACTGCTCTGCCAAAGGACCTGGATTTGATTCTGAGCACCCACATGGTAGCTCACAACCATTTTTATTGTTCTGGGCAATCTGACGCCCTCTTACAGACTCTGAGAGTACCAGGCACACAAGTGTAGCGTAGACACAGATGCAAGCAAAACACCAAGAGACTTTGAGTAGAATGGCGCACACCTTCATTACCAGCACTTAGGAGCCAGAGGCAGGTGGATCTTAGGTGAATCTTTTGAGTTGAAGGCCAGCCTGGTCTACAGAATGAGTTCTGGGACAGTCTGCCTACATAGTGAGTCTCCATAGTTCCAGAAAGAAAAACAGAAAAGATAAAGTCCATTTTGGGAGACTTTAACTAGGAGAGTACTGCTCCTACAAGGGAGGAGGAACTCAGCTCCTGGGGTAACTTAGGAATACGGGAGGGAGCTAACTCACAAGGAGGCGGCGCTCCACCAGCAAAGACGACAGATACAGTCAGACATGGGCAGGAGGCTTGTGCTGGTAGTCCTCTGGTTTCTTCTGGGTTTCCAGGGAAACAAGAATGATGACAGTATCTGGGGTGGGAAGATATACAGAGGAGATAAACAGTTATCTTGGAAAGGGGTGTAGATCATAGGAGAAAGGGGTGGCCTTTCTGGGCAGGTGGGAGTCTTCCAGGAGTTGGTATCTGATTTTAAAGGAAGGCTCTAAAAGCAGGGTTGCTTCAGCACTAGTGCAGCGTGAGAGGAAAGGGCTTTACGGCAGAAAAAGATGAGTCAGGTAGGAGAAAAGAGTGAAGGGTCAGCAGTTGCAAGTCTAGTAGGATGAGAGACCGAGGACCATAAATACAGATGGGGATTTAAAGCAGTGGTGACGGTCCTGGCCTGGAGTGATGGAGTTAGGCCTGTGCTGCCCAAGACAACAACCTCTCCCCAATTGATATTGGCTAGTGTGATTTGTATCTGCTAAGATGTGAGAACTTCATCAGCTTTTAAAGAGCTAAGATAAAAATGTAAAATATCGGGCTGGAGAGATGGCTCAGCGGTTAAGAGCATGGACTGCTCTTCCAGAGGTCCTGAGTTCAATTCCCAGCAACCACATGGTGGCTCACAACCATCTGTAATGGGATCTGATGCCTGACAGCTACGGTGTACTCATATACATAAAATAAATAAATAAATCTTTAAAAAAAAGTAAAATATCTGAAATTAATTATTTTACTGTCCTGTTGAAATGCTAATATTTTAAGCAGATGGTATACCTTATAGATAGAGTGCTGGGCTAGTCTGGGTAAATTATTCAACACCTTCCAGAACAAAATCAGATTTCCAAGTTGGAGCATAGTGGCACACGTACTTATCTCCAGACTGAGGCTGGAGAACATCATGAATTTGGGGTCGGTCCTAGTCTTTTTAGTTCAAGGACAGTATGGGTCACCTAGCATTACCTTGTCTCAGAAAAGCAAAGTTTAATTTTCTACCTTTCACTCTTTGATGTGGCCACGAGAAGATTATAACCATTTACTTGGGTTGCATTTCCGTTATCCAAGGCTGGATATAATCAGGGCGGAGGAGATGAGCTAGAAAGCGGTAGGTCTGTGGAAGGGGCTCAGAACTGCGTAGTAAAGAGAATTAGAAGGACTTTCTGTCAGTGACAGCCATTTGAGGCCAGCCTGATCTGCAGAGTAAGTTCCAGGACAGCCAAGGCTACATGGAGAAACCCTGTTTCAATAAAACAAAAGACAAATGAAGAAGAAGCCACAAATAAGAATAGTACTTGTAGCCGGGCAGTGGTGGCACATCCCTTTAATCCCAGCTCTGGGGGCAGAGGCACAGAAAAGACAGAGGATTTCTGTGAGTTCAAGGATAGCAAGGGCTACACAAAGAAACCTTGTCTTCAACCCCTGCCTCCCACCCCCCAAATAAGCAGTTGTTGGAAAAAGCAGTGTGTGTTGAGAAAGGAATCCGGTGCTGACAAGCTCTGTGAACTGGTTGCATGTAGATTAGTTGTCTGATAGGATGTGGGTATCCAACAGTCTGGACCATGGGATTGTCCAGTGGAGTCGGCTGGGATAGAGGCTGGGATCTGATGGCTGACTTCGTTGGTCTTGATGAGTATTCATTATTTCCCCAAGAAAGCTTTGGTCCATCTGCAGTTCCCTGGAGGAGCATGTGGCGCTCCAGTGCTTTGGTGTGAGCATGCTCTTGTTAGAGCTGTTGTGACTGGGGTGAAGAGTGAGGGGTGATTAGCTTAGGAATTTCTGTGTAAGGGGGCCCTGCAGACACTTACCACCTCCTGTTCTCAGCTGGAAGAGCACCGGAACTCCCAGAAGCAGATGAAGCTCTTGCAGAAGAAGCAGACCCAGCTGGTGCAGGAGAAGGACCATCTGCGTGGTGAGCATAGCAAGGCTGTCCTGGCCCGAAGCAAGCTTGAGAGCCTGTGCCGGGAACTGCAACGACACAACCGGTCCCTAAAGGTAGGCCAGTCAGCAGTCATTGGACCTTGTGGGCTTCCTTCTTAGAAACAACTGTGGCTTTCTATACAGTGAGTTCTAGGCCATCCTGGATTAGGAAGATTCTTTTTTTTTTTTTTAAAAAAAAAAAAAGCAGTTTAGGTATGGTATAGTTCAGTCCCAGTTCCACCAAAGAACAACTGACTTTCTGAGACTGGCATGCCGAGAGCACATGATGCAGCAGCCAGAATTTTTCTCCATTAGATAGCAGTCTCCTGCTGCCCTAGTCAGCTTTCCCTCTCTACAAATACTGAGCTTCTTAAAGACAGAGGTTTGTCTTGACTCACACTTTAGAAGCTCTAGTCCATGAGTTGGGGGACCTATTGGCTTTGGAGATGTGCGCTGAGGAGGACAGCAGCAGAATGTGGCAGGGATGTATGGTATAGCAAAACTGCTCAAGAGAACACTTCCAGCAGAAGTGTTCTTGAGGGTTCCACTCCTAGTAGCATCACAATAGGTTCCAGAGTCCTCTGCAAAATAAACCTTTGTGGAACTTTAGGATTCAAGTAGGGGAAAGGGATCAATCAAGAGAGTGCTTCCCATTGCCAGCACAAAAACTAGAAACTGGATCCCTGTCACCAGTGTACAGAGCTGGGCTAGGTAGTGTACCTCAGTAAAGTATGGTGGACTAAGAGATGGCTGAATGGTTAACAACACCTAGTAGTCTTCCAGAGGCCCCAATTTCTGTTCCTGCACCCACATTTTGCTGTCCACAAACCATCTTGAGGGGGTCTGATACTCTCATGTAACTTCTGGGCAGCCACATACATGTGACAAACATTCACTGAGACATAAATATACAGAAATAAAAGAAAAAAATGACAAGCAGTGGCTGCACAAGACAGCCCAGCGGTTACAGCATAGGCTGCTTTTCTAGAGGAGCCACTCCAGTTCCCACCACACATACGGCAGCTCACAGCTGTCTAACTCCAGTCGGGAGATCCACTACACTCTTTAAAGGGTAAAAAATAAGGTAAAGAAAAATTGATGATGGTACCTGACCTCTGGCCTCTATGTGTACATGTGTGCAGTACTCTTAACAAGCTTGCTCAGCTGGAGAGATGGCCTAGCTGCTCTTCTAGAGGTCCTTAGTTCAGTTTCCAGCAGTCACATGGTGGCTCTCCTAGTACGCATGAAGACAGTCTACTCATATACGTAAAATAAATATACATACATAAAACAAACACACGCTTTTAAAAAAAAACACTGGTGCATAGACATACATAAGGCTAAAATACTCATACATAAAATAATACTTTAAAAAAATTAAAAACCAAAACTATTCTTGTTATTAGGAGAGTATGTGTGTCCATGTCCTTGACCAATTGTGTGGTGTGGAATTTTATCTATAGACTAAATTTCAGAAGTGAAATGGCTGAGTCGGTGGGCACAGCACTAAGTGCTGATAGAATTTTCTAGGTTGCCTTCCAAAAAGTGGGCAATATAATCCCATTAAAAATGTTTTTCACCACTCTTCCAATCCTGAATATTACTACATTTTATTATCTTGTTCTCTGTGAGGAACAGGAGCAATTAAAGGACGTTAAAACAGGAACACAAAATGGAAACAAGCAGGAATCCTTAATCTAGAGTCTGTGAACAAGAATCAGGGATGCCCAGCTGTTTCACTTAGCATGAATGCTGAGTATTTCTAGGGAAAGTCACTTGATAACACATGATTTTCAGGGGCACATTAGGAAACCCCACTGTATGGCATCCTGCAGCCTAGGTGCTCCCTAGGGGCCTGGAGCGCCATTGGCAAAGACTGGGCAGTGGAACTAGTTAAGGGAGCTTTGTGCAGTGCTGGGAGCTTTGGATGACGGATCCAGGACTGGCTTCTCTCTTCAGGAAGAAGGTGTGCAGCGAGCCCGTGAGGAGGAGGAGAAGCGCAAAGAGGTGACTTCACACTTCCAGGTGACACTGAATGACATTCAGCTGCAGATGGAACAGCATAATGAGAGAAACTCCAAGCTGCGCCAAGAGAATATGGAACTAGCCGAGAGGCTCAAGAAGTTGATTGAGCAGTATGAGCTCCGTGAGGAGGTGAGGGGAGGGGATTGTGGCCATGAGGATGGGAGGTGAAGGTGATCGTGGCCAGCAGCATGTAAGGCTGGATATCCTCATAGATAAGGAACTGAAATGGAAAGAAGAGATTTGACCCCCAGTGCTTATCTCTGGGGTCTGAACTAGGTATCTGTAGACTATTCAGTTCTAGAGTGGAGGTGTGTCCTCGTCCTAGTGCCACATCAGACCTGTGGAGGTTAGGAAGGAGACGTCCCAAGGACATTGGGTCAGAGGGAGACTGTATGAAGTGACTTGTTTCCTAGAGTTGGGGCTCTCTTGAAAGGGAACTGACAAGCAGACCCCATTAATACCTTTTCTACAGCACATCGACAAAGTCTTCAAACACAAGGACCTGCAGCAGCAGCTCGTGGATGCCAAGCTCCAGCAGGCCCAGGAGATGCTGAAGGAGGCAGAGGAGCGGCACCAGCGGGAGAAGGAGTTTGTGAGGCTCAGGCCTTGGGGGCTAGAAGGAAGTGGGCTGGGTTCTGGCTTAGCTCAGTCTAGTTCTTATGGATGGGAAAGGTTTTTGCCTGCCCAGTCCAGTAATTGCCTGGACAGACAACAGTCAGTGAGCAGGTAGCCTCAGTGGGTCCAGTGCTTATGGCTAAAGAAGGCCAAACACCGCCCAGGGTTCTGACAGGTTCTGGGGTCCTGTCTTGGAAACAGCTCCTGAAGGAAGCAGTGGAGTCCCAGAGGATGTGTGAGCTGATGAAACAGCAGGAGACCCACTTAAAGCAGCAGGTGAGACAGGAGCCTGACCTGTAGTTTCCAAGACGCTTTCACAAGGGGAGTGAAGATAGGACTGTCAGCTTAGGCTGGCTTTGTGCCAGCTGGCATGGTGGTGTCGGCCAAGTCTTTTATTTATAAGTGTTTTGTTTTGTTTTGTTTTCCCCAAGACAGGGTTTCTCTGTGTAGCCCTGGCTGTCCTGAAACTTGGTTTGTAGATCAGGCTGGCCTTGAGATTTGCCTGCCTCTGCCTCCTATGGGATTAAAAGTAGGCATATGCCACCATGCCAGGTAAAACAAAAACAAAAGGCATTTTTTGTTGTTTTGTTTTGTTGTTGTTGTCGTTTGAAGAAAGGTCTCAGAGTTTAGCCCTGGCTATAGCTAACCCAGAACTCACCTTGTAGACCAGGCTCGGGTTGGCCTTGAACTTAGGACAGTCTTCTGACTTCAAATGCATGCATGTCTAGCTCAGTTTCTGTTTATTTTCCTTTATTATTATGCATATGAGGGTTTTGCATGGATGTATATCTGTGTCCCACTTGCATTGTTGGTGCCTTTAGAGGTCAGAAGAGTTACAGACAGTTGTGGCCTCCATGTAAATGCTGGGAATTGAACCCATGTCCTCTGGAAGATCAGCCATCCCTTCAGCCCCATCAGTACATGTTTTGTTTTTGTATGAGACCAATGTCTCTGCGTGCCGACGTCTCCCCAAGGCGTACTTTCCAGGATTCTCATGTTGGAACACAGCTTTGCCTGTGGTATTAGGAGGTGCTGTCTAAGTAGAGTGGTCTGTGTCTGTGTGCCGCCTCATCTGTCTTCTGTGCTTCTCACCCAGCTCGCCCTGTACACAGAGAAGTTTGAGGAGTTCCAGAACACACTTTCCAAAAGCAGTGAAGTGTTCACCACGTTCAAACAGGAGATGGAAAAGGTAACCACAGGGACTCAGTCCCTCAGCCTGGTTAAGGGGCTCTGCCCACTTTCTTCAGAACTGAGTTGCCCTTGGCTGACCTACAGGAACTCTATATCAAGAAGAGGTAGTTGGGGGCTGGAGAGATGGCTCAGTGGTTAAGAGCACTGACTGCACTTCCAGAGGTCCTGAGTTCAAATCCCAGCAACCACATGGTGGCTCACAACCATCTGTAATGAGATCTGATGCCCTCTTCTGGTGTGTCTGAAGACAGCTACAGTGTATTCATATATAATAAATAAATAAATTTAAAAAAAGATGGAAATCAGAGATAGACCTTAAAAAAAAAAAAAAAAAAAAAAAAAAGAAGAGGTAGTTGTCCTGTCCAGCAGGGCATTAAACAGGGGTTCGGGGAGATCACCTGAAAGAGAAAGTGGGGGACAGGCTGATGCAAGGAATGACGATCTATCTATAGTCTGATCAGATCGCCATTTTTACTTTTTCACACACAGGTTGTATACACAAAAAAGGCAGGATATGGGGAAGGGGATGACGCAGGAGTGTAGATGTTCAGGGGGAGTACAAATATCTTCCAGAACAGAGTATCAGCTGAGTGAAGGTTCAGGGGACAGGACACTATGACTCCTCCAGAGTTCTGGGATAAAGGCACCATGCATATTTTTAAACAACATTGTGGGTAGGTATGTGTGTGTATGGGGTATGCAGATAGCACAGAATGCATATGGAGATCCAAAGACCGTCTACAGGAGTTGACTCTGGGTTTGGGGCATGGAGTTCATTGTTAGGCTTGGCAGCAAGTACCTTCTTATTTCCTAAGCAGTCTTGTCAGCCCTGCAGGCCTCAGCTCAACTTGAGGCTCCCTGTTGGCACAGACGTGAAGATCGTCCACCTCTGACCTTCTCTTTTCGTCTGTGCCGTAACAGATGACAAAGAAGATCAAGAAGCTAGAGAAAGAAACCACCATGTATCGATCCCGGTGGGAGAGCAGCAATAAGGCTCTGCTGGAGATGGCTGAAGAGGTGGGTGGACTGTCATGGACTGCTCTGTCAGTCACTGGCACAATACACATGAACTGCAGCTTTTTCCAGGAGCACTGATCCAAGGGAACCTTTTTTGAGACGTTTTATAAATCTCTACACATTTTTTGAGACCTGAGATTGGTTGGTAGTCCTGTTTAACAGTTGACATTTTCTTTGTTTGTTTTGGTTTTGGGTTTTTTTGTTTTTTGTTTTTTTGTTTTTTTTTGTCTTTTTTTTTGGTTTTTTTTTTTTTTTTGGTTTTTCGAGACAGGGTTTCTCTGTATAGTCCTGGCTGTCCTGGAACTCACTCTGTAGACCAGGCTGGCCTCGAACTCAGAAATCTCCCTGCCTCTGCCTCCCAAGTGCTGGGATTAAAGGCGTGCGCCACCACAGCCCGGCTAACAGTTGACATTTTCAAGGTGCTCGAGATATGTCAAGGTCATTTGATAGATAAGTAGAAGAATACATCCTCTGACACCAAAGTCAGACTAAGCTAGGGCCGTTACTACAAGGGCCAGCTATTGGGTTTAAGTTGCCCAAACTTGAGGAAGTGACTGCCTCACTGAATGCTTCATTTTCTATCTAGAAAACCCTCCGGGACAAAGAGCTGGAAGGCCTGCATGTGAAAATCCAGCGGCTGGAGAAGTTGTGCCGAGCGCTGCAGACAGAGCGCAATGACCTCAACAAGAGGGTACAGGACCTGACTGCTGGGGGCCAGGGCTCCCTCACTGACATTGGCTCTGAGCGGAGGCCGGAGGCTGCCACTGCCTCCAAGGAACAAGGTGTTGAGAGTCCTGGGGCTCAACCATCCAGCTCTCCAAGGGCTACAGATGCCTCCGGCTGCCCTGGAGCACGGAGCACAGAAACAGCAGGCCAAACAGGGCCCGGAGAGCCCACCTCTGTCACTGCCTAGAGATCATGGTGCTTGGGCATGCTGGGAAGGGGGCAGCAGCCCAGTCAGGCCTGGTCCATGCAAGGCTTCCACACTGAGCAGCCTAGTGCTGAGGCCCGGGTGTTCTAACCTGGAGGGCATCGGACACTTTGCAATTTTGAATTTTGTGGGTTAGCCTTACATGGCTGGGGCAGGTGTGCAAACCTCATGCAGTTCCATAGTTTACACTTGTAGGTGTGCTGTGGGCCTCACCACGGTTGGATGTGCAGATGACGTTGGTGACTCTGTAAACTGAAGAGTCTTAGAAGATGTCAGCTGTAGCTGCCATCACAATAAGCTGGCAGGTCAGATGACTCCAATATTTTCCTACCCAGCTCTGAGGCTCAGACCCCTCTTGGCCCTTTTCAGAGCTCGTGACAAGCGAAAACACCCAGGCCTGAACTCTCCTTTATAAGCAGAAATTTGGGCAGTTTGGGCTCTTGTCACTCCCCTGGAGGTTCCATTGCTTCTCTTAACCTGGGGATGATGTCCCTGGCAGAGTCTGTGGGAACAGAAGTGGAGGGTGTGGTTGTGTGGGAAGGAATCCCCCTCAGGCCCACTTCCTCTCTGGTAGTGCCAGGTCCAGGCCAGTGTTGCTTCTCAGTTCTCAGTAGCCTTATCATTCACAGGTGCCTCTAGCCTGCACAAATAATTGACAGATGTCACCCAAAGGATTCTTTTGGGAGGGTTTTTGTTTGCTTGTTTTGCATAAGAGTTTGTATTAAAGAACTTGGAAGGAAGGAAGAGGGATACTCTAGCAGTGGTTCCCAGGTGCCTGGCCTCCAGTGCCCTACTCGGAACCGCCCTGTCGGAGTCCTTTGCCATGTAGGTGCCAAGGTGTCCTGCTTGGGAAGGTGAGGTATTTCAGAGACAGAAAGAGGCTTCCAATGGCTTTGCCACAAACTTGCCTATGGGCTTCAGCCTAGGCGACGCCCACTGGTTCCCATCATTCCTCCATGCAGCCTTTGCTGGACCCCAGGTCCGAATGCCCCTTGAATTATGGTCTTTTTTTTTTTCCCCTGCCTCCTCACCTCCAACTCAGGAGCAGTTTTTGAAGACTGCTCACGTGCTGTTTCCTAGCCCCCTCTCAGCCAGAAAGTGAGTCCTTGGGATTTCACTTCTTCCTGCCTAAGCTGACTGGCAGGTCAAGAACACACATCCCAGGAACCAAAATAGCTGCAGGGACTTGTCTTTACCCTCCCTCCCCACCCCCCTCACAATGTCACTGTCCTCTACGCAGCCTTGCTGAAGTTCTTGCTGCTCACCTGTCTGGCTGTAGCAGTTTCCACAGCAGCTTTCCAGATAACAGTGTCTCCTTTCCGTAAGCTAAGTGGACCATATCCTGAGGCTGGATAGAATTTTGCTTCTAACTGTATTTCAACTATTGCATTATCCTGCAAGTTTCTTCATCTCTCATAACTAGCCTCTATGGCCCCACATTCATTAGAAATTGAGCTGGGTGTGTGGTCTGTTCCTGTAATCCCAGAACTCAGCAGAGCTAGGAAGCAGGAGTGACCCCTTGTCGAAAACCAAAAAGTAAAAGGCTGGGAGACAACATCACATGCTAACAATCATGTGCTTAAATCTACAAATTACGAATGACCCCTTCCCCATGTCACATTCTCTACCATTTCAAATACTTAGTACCCCCAGACTCCCAGCTGTGGGAGTGTTGAGGCTGCTTTGCCATCTCCAGCTGGGATCTGTTGTCCTGTGGAATTTCTCCCAAGGTCTTATCTCTTGGAAATCATAATAGTATTCCTGTTCCAGTAAGGCCTCCCAGCCCGTATTCCAGGCTGAGATCTGACCTGTTAACCCATGGAGCTCTTCAGGCCGTAGGGATGTAAGGGTAAGGCGTCTTTCTGCCTCCTTGGAAACGGAAGGGCCTTCTGTGGTCCACACGTCGGCTTGCATCACTTCAGCTACCTCTTAAAGCATGTGCAGGGTTACAGCTGTTAGGTCTTGGTGTGGCGGGCTGGGAGGCTACAATTTGTCAGTAGAACCTTGGCTGTTTGCTCCATCCACTTGTAGGCAGCCAGGACGATACATAGATGGTAATCTCTTCCTTTCTCCTCTCCACTGACCAAATCTAAACAGTCCCTACAGCTGCTCTGCTTTCCAAAGTCAGCCCAGGAGCCTGGGCCAGCTGCAGGGAAGTGGCCTATCTGTGAGAGGGCCACTGCCTTCCTCACGTGGCCAAGTCCCTTGCACATGACCTCATTTTAGGACCAAGAGCTGTGTTGGTTTCTTAGATTGTTAGTTTTTCTCTAGAGGACCACAGTGGGTATGGCTTAGAGCCCAGGGCCCTTGGCTATACAAACAATATTTAGGTCCTTGTCCAGGTGAGAGTTTCATGTACGCCATGTCAGCCCCATTCTTTGTCGTCGTTTTCTATGAGGCTTTTGGACCACGGGCAGAGCTTAGGCACTTTCGGTAAGAATGTTGTTTCTGTAAAGATGGTTATTTAACGCTTCCCAATCCCCGTCATGTTAGTCCTACTGAGGGCTGACCAGAGGCCGGTGGAACTGCCCAGGTGTCCACAGTGGGGCTGTGGCCTGCTGAGAGTTGTTCCAGCCCCCCTTCCCACCTTAATAGCCTGGGTGGATCACCAGGCATCTGACTGCCCTTAACCAGCCTAGGGTAGGAGGACTGCCTCTGTCCCAGTGATTGCTTTCCTTTGCCACCCACACTTGTTTGAAGTTGAACTGACACCATTTTCTTTCTTCCCTCTCCCCTTCCCAGTCTACTTTTGGTATTCACAACAGCCAGGGACTTGATACTGATGTATTTTACACCACATTAAATAGTCTGTTGCCTTATTTGTATCTCAGCTAATAGATGATTTGATGTTTTCTGGATCGACAAAGTGACCTGCCATGATCCTGCACCTCTCTACTGGCCATAGGTTGAGGACCCTGACAGATTCTCTAGCTGTGTTTGCTTTTGGTGTAGAAAAGAAAATCAAAGGACATAAGTAAAAAATTTTAGAAGTTTGAATAAGGTGTGCACACATGTAATCCCAGCACGGAAAGGCTGAGGCATGGTTGCCATGAGTTCAAGGCTGCCTTGGGCAGCATCAGCTAGGCTTGTCTCAAGGAGGTGGAATTGAGGGCCTCCAGACATGGTAGGACATGCTCTTAATACCAGCACTCTGAAGGAAAAGGCAGAAGGATCTCTCAATTTGAGGTCAGCCTGGTCTACGTATAGTATTCCAGTGTGCTGTAGTGAGGGCCTGTGAGAGTGAGGTGGAGGGGTGGCTCCCTGGATGGTAAGAGGACGTGCTCCTTCTTTTGTTCTCCGTAAGTACATCTTGACACCGCCACACATGTACATACAATGTTCATATAATAATACATGTAATTTTTAAAAAATTAGTAACTATTGAGAGGAAAAGTACTTTTAAAGCAGGTAGAGGTCCTGAAAAGGACAGACAGAAGTCATGACCTGATCAGTTGAACCTGCCATAATAGAACATGTCTTTAATCCCAAAGGTTTATAAGACCTTTACAAAAAGAAAAGTTGCTTACAAGTTTTGCAAGGTGCCCAGGAGGGTGAGGGAAGAGAGGAGTTCTGTTTAGGTGTTCTTGAAAGTTTTGAACAGAGAGAACAGTAAGGACCCATTGAAGGAAGGTGTTCAAACAGTACTGAGTAAGGCGTGAACTACTGGGCCTGTGCCATTGGCCCTCCTCAGGGGACCGCACAAGGACTTTGTGCAGACTTTGTGGTTCTTTAATTCAGCTCGTTTCCTCTAGGGGAAACTACATGTGGCCTCACCCAGCACCAATCCTCTCTCAGTTGGTTAGGCAGAAAAGATGGAAATGCTCAGCTTTACAGGAGCTGTGCCTCGATCCCTTCTAGCCAGAGGTGGTAGGCTAATACTAATCCATGTACATCAGACACCACATTGGATCCAGAAGTCCTCCAGTAGGGTGGGAGAGGATTCCTTTCCTGATCCAGGTCAGGAGCTTCCAAGTAAAGTAGCTCTACTAAAGCTCTGGCTCCTCAGGGAAGCTGCTGAAGGTGGGAACCCCAAGGTGCTTCTGCGCCCTCTGCCACTTCTAAGAGGAAAGGGACATCCCCACTGTGCACCTCTCTCTCTGGTTCTCAGTCTGCAGAAGCAACAACTCTGGGTCCCCACAGCCAGGGTCCCATGTCAGGGAAATCTGTTGTTGAGGAAAAGAGAAGATGGGTGCTTTGTTGCCTAGGTCTGTTTAATTTGAGCCTGCTGGGCAGCCTGGCTAAGGACACTACTCTCCTGTGGCATCAGATACTGCTCTGGAAATCTGAACCAAGATCCTCTGCCAGATCTTTAAATAGCTGCCTCATTGATCGGACCTCCCTCCTGGCCAGCTGCACTACAACCAACAGTTCCTTCCCATCTCCTGCCAGGTTGCCAGATCTCCTGTTGTGCTCTGGATCTACCTATGTAGGAGGTGGGGAGAGGTCCTGTCAGTTGAAATGCACTTAGAGGCTAGGAATGTCTGGATGTAATGGAACAACGACATTGCCCAGGAATGAGTGACTACTGGTTATTTTCAGCAAAATAACAATTATGTCTCAGGATTATAAGGATTAAATGTATATAAAAGGCTTAACGGTGCTTGGGTAGTGGTTGTCTTTGTTTCTTCGGGTGCCTGCTCCTTATATATTTACATATTGTCTATGCCCACACATTCATTTATTCCCATCATTCCCCTCCTGCAAACAAAGCCACCACCATTTTGTAAGGGATTCCCTCCGAACATGACAAGAAAAGGAAATTATTTTAACTTCATATCCCGCAACTGACAGAGTTAGTTCCCTTACTTCATTCGAGGTAGGTAGGAACTGTTAAATTGATGTGAGGACTCTCCTCCCGCTCAGCTCCCGGTGAATCCAAACAGGGCTCCTTTCTCTTTAAATGCAAATCACTTCCAGGCAGCTTAGCTCCCACCAGCTCTAGTTCCCGGGAGGAGCGAGAAAGCAGGGTGGAGGGAGACAGCTAAGAAGCACTGTTCTACACTCCAGACCCCAAACCTCCAGGTCAGTAGAACCCCAAGGAGTGTGAGAAGGGAGTGAGGAGGGTGGAGTGGGGTGATGCACCTGATGCTCGTTTTTGAAGCCGGAATTGAGAACTGAGTGATCCTTAGCCACATCTTCTCAGGCTGATCTCAGTCGCTCTGGCTGCTGCTTCCATCAGTCACTGGGTCACACTGCTGCTACACGGAGAGACAGAGTTCTCTGTCTCTCTTCCACCACCACCCCCAGCCCTACTGATGCCACCCAGTTGTTCCATGCAAGTTTAAATGCTTACGTTCCTGTTCCGCTATCGCTATCTCGGAAGTAAAGTGACCGAGCTGATAACAGTCGGAACTGAGATACCAGCCTCCGCCCCCCACTCCGCCCCCAGACGACCCCAGCAGACCAGATGCCTAGGTGATCATGGGAGTCAGGCTAAGCCAGTCTAGTCACAGTTACAGACATTGTTGGAGGTCTAGCCCCAAAGACTTTCTAACTAGAAAAAGAAGAGATTAGAAGTTGTTCCGAGGAACTTCTGGGCACCCCCAGCATGTGTAGTTGAAGTGGAAGGGCCGGTATGTAAGTGATGGGCCTGGTCGATGTGGTTGACCAGGCTATTTCCAGGTGTCCCTACCTTAGCTGGGTTGCATCTCATGCAGTGTTAGTCAGTATCCGCCATATACAGACTGTTGCCTAGTGAAGACACTCCTGATCCTCAGCTGCCTCCCCTAGTCACATCCACCCTGTCTCCTGAGCATTTTCTTCTACAGCCCCAGGCTCTGGGCTGAAGTGACATGAAAACACGATGACCCTGGTCTAGGCCAGCCCTCTCAGGCACGCAAATGGGGCTTTCAGGGACAAAGGGGCTTCGCCAGCTTTGGAAGGTCTTTCAGACACATAGCTACAGTTTAGCAGCAGGCTGGCATCTGGCTCTGTACAGACACCAGGACGGAGCTCCTGACTGCTGGACAAGGATAAATTTGATCGGAGAAGGCTCCGATCAAAGCGGGTGCTGGGTGAAGGGATGATTTCCCCCCTCATTATCTTCCTAACCAGACCTGACGTCCAGCAACACCCAATGGAAGACAAAAAGAAGAAACGGAGTCCTAAGCCCTGCCTCGCCCAACCAGCACAAGCCGCAGGCACACTGCGCAGAGTCCCCGTGCCCACCAGCCACAGCGGCTCCCTGGCTCTGGGACTCCCTCATTTGCCATCACCCAAGCAGCGAGCCAAGTTCAAGAGGTGAGTAAGGAAGGGGTGCTGGGCAAGAATAGAGACTCCCAGCTCTGGGCTGAGCACTGTGGAAATGAGGAAGGGCCTTCAGACATCGCTGCAGCGGCAACAATGCCTTACCCACTCACTGGTGATGTAGACCCAATGCATGTCCTCAAGTACACAGAGAGATAAAGCCAGGGACTTCCTGGGACCAAGCAGAGTGATGGTGTATCTCTGAGGAGGAAGTCAGTGTGAGAGACACTGAAGAGGGGAGGCTATTCAACACTGAAAAGCTCGTGTAAAAGCAACGACATTGCAGGAGTGTAGGGAACAAATACCTGGGGAGCGATTTCTTCCTCTATTTCATTTTATTGTGGTAATGCTGGGGGATTGAACTCAAGTACCCAGCATGCTAAGCGAGTGGGCTGAGCTTTGTTTCTAGCCCAGTTAAGTTCTCTGCTCAGTTCTTTTTAAATAATGGAAATCTGGCTGGAAGTGGCAGTGCAGAACCATAATCCCAGCATGAGGGTAGCAGAGGTGCGGGATCAGGAGTTCAAAGGTCACTGGCTATGTGGAGAGTTTGAAGTTAGCCTGGGTTACAAGAGACCCTGCCTCAAAAAAAAAAAAAATCAATAGTTGTTTAGAATTTTGGTGGCCAAGGGTGGTGGCAGAGGCTGGTAGATCTATGAGGACAGCCTGGACTACACAGTAAGTTCCAGGCCAGTCAAGGCTGCATAGTTAGACCTTGTCTCAAAACAACAAAAACAAAATCAATTTGGATCCTACTCTATGTCCACTTTTGTTCCCATAAATACAATGTGTTCTTTTCCCTATTGTTTTAAATAAAACCAGCTCCATCTGCCTGGCCAGCTCGCATACCCGCATGGCTGTAGTAGGTTTTATCTGAAGCTCGGGGCTGTTTAAGAATAGTAGGAAAGGGGGCTGGAGAGATGGCTCAGCGGTTGAGAGCACTGACTGCTCTTCCAGAGGTCGTGAGTTCAAATCCCAGCAACCACATGGTGGCTCACAACCATCCGTAATGAGATTGGATGCCCTCTTCTGGTGTGTCCGAAGACAGCGACAGTGTACTCATAAATAAAATAAATAAATAAATCTTTAAAAAAAAATATTAAAAAAAAAAAAGAATAGTAGGAAATACAGTTGGAGAGAGGAAGGCCCAACTGGCTGGTTCAGGGTTACTCTGGGGAGACAGAATGTGTTACCCTGCTGTAGCCAAAGCCACACCTTCAAGGAGATGGAAAATTCACAACAGTTTCTGGAATAGAACAAGAACAGGAAGATTTTTTGGTGGGAGGTGCTTCATTGGCAGTAAAGGAAGAAACTCCCTCAAGGACAAGTGACCTGTCCAGGGTAATAGGGGCTTCATGGCTCCTGCTCTGCCTCCTTGCAGGTATGCCTCTGGCTGCAGCATCTGTGGAAACAGATGTCTTTCTGCCCTCTTCCTCTCTTCCCTTCATGAGCTCCTTCCCTTAACCTATCCTGCTGCTCAGGGTAGGACCTGAGAACAAACACCAGTTTGTGTTGGTGAGTGGGTGGGGCAGATGAAGCAGAGAGACGTGGCACACCCATGACCATGGCCATGTCTACTTCACCCAGAGTAGGCAAGGAGAAATGCAGAGCGGTGCTGGCTGGAGGTGGAGGCGGCTCCGCAGGCACACCCCTGCAACACTCCTTCCTGACAGAGGTGACAGATGTCTATGAGATGGAGGGAGGACTACTGAACTTGCTCAATGATTTTCATTCAGGTCGCCTGCAGGCCTTTGGTAAGTCCAGGAGCAGGGTGGTTCTGTGGGTGCTGCTGGGGTCTTGGTCTGGGGGCAGCCTGGGCTTAGGGTCCCAGGCTCCCTTGTCAACTCAAGAGTTGTCCAGGGACAGAATGCTCCTTCGAGCAGTTGGAGCATGTTCGGGAGATGCAGGAGAAGTTGGCTAGACTGCACTTCAGCCTGGATGTGTGTGGCGAGGAAGAGGACGAAGAAGAGGATGGGGTCACAGAAAGCTTGCCTGAGGAGCAGAAGAAGACAATGGCTGACCGAAACCTGGACCAGCTGCTTAGCAATGTGGGTCATAGAGCTGGCTGTTTAGGATCCTGGGGACACCAAGGGTGGAGAGGGCACAGGCTCCCAAGTCTCCCAGTGAAAAGTTCGGGGTACATGAACCAGAGTTGTGAGTTCCTCAAGCTGCACTAGTAGGACTTCCCCAGAGCATCCAGGTTTGTTCTGGGTCCCCTGACATAAACCCCCTTTTCCTTCTGTTGACAGCTAGAAGATCTTAGCAATTCCATGTATCCTTTCCAAGGGGCTTAATGAGGTTCATGTGCCTCTCAGGTGAGGGAGAAATGAGGGGTGGGAAATCAGTTTCTTCCTGCCTCTATTCACACATAACAAATATTCCCATTTCTTGCTGTCCTACTGACTCAGACTTAGCCATAAACTGCCCCCACTTAAGAGGAATGTAGAATTTACCAAATTCTAAAGGAAAAATGCATCAGGTGTGGTGGCACAAAATGTTAATCCCAGCACTCGGAAGGCAGAGGCAAGTGGAGCTCTTGAGTTTGAGGTCACTACGTAGTGAATCCAGGATTCTAGGACACCCAGGATTAAACAAACAAAGTGGAGTGGTGGAGGAGAGAAAAACGCATGTAGGGTGTATGGTTTAAACACTGGTATCTTTTTTGTTTGTTTTGAGACTAAGTCTCACTGTGTAAACCCTGGTATGATGAAAGTCTTTGAAGCTGACACCAATACATAGCAAAGCTTGTCTGCTGTTCTCCTGCCCTTTCAGCCTTTTGCGGGGGGCGGGGGGGAGCGGGGGGGGGGCGGGTGGAGGGGCAGGAGGAATTCGGGAGTTAGAGACAAGGTTTCTCTGTGTAGCCCTGGCTGTTCTGAGTAGAGCAGGCTGGCCTCGAACTCACAGAGATACTATCCAACTGCCTCTGCTTCCCAAGTGCTGGGATTAAAGGCATATGCCACTACATCTGGCTCCTTTCGGATTTTAATCCTTATTTAAATTGTGCCCTGGTGTGGTGACCCCGAAAACGAACACACACACACACACACACACACACTCACACGGCCTGTACAGGGTGGGAAGGCATATGGATACACAGGTCCAAAGTGTCACAGTCCTTGACTGGCACAGACAGAAGCTGCATTTGGCAGAGAATGCCGAGCCTGAGGAGCAGCCAGCGGTGTAGGTGTCGCCTAGACTCTGCTGCTTCTCGCCTTCTCTTCAAACTGTGACTTTTTACGGATTTGGGAGCCCCTAGGTGCTATGGGGTCGGGGGCACTGGTTGGAATTAAACAAACGGAAAAGCGACTCCCCGGTGTTCTCCTTGCTCTTACTGTGTCATAGACCGAGTTGGGGATGGGGGGAGGGGGAACGGGCTCGAACGGGACCCGGATGCGAGCGCGAGTCGGAGGGAGAAGCCCAGCATGTGACCCTGGAAACCGCGGGTGGGGCCTCGTGTGCGCATGCCCAGAAGCGGCGCTGCCTGAAGACTCACTGCGCAAGCGCACGCATGCGGCTGACGCACCGCGCCTGGCGGTTGGTAACGAGATGGATCCTGACCTCTTCCTTCGAAAGGTGTCTACATTGCAGGTCGGGATGGAGTTGCGAGTGCACCTGGGGTCAGGGGCTAGACCTTCCGGCGAGATGCAGCTGTCACATAACGTCCCTTACCCGCACGCCTTCTGCCCTGCACTCAAGAATGCGGAGCTGTGGCTGGGTTAGGGAGAGATAAAAGGACCGTAAATCGAGAATGAGGGTCCCGCTCAGCATCTTCTCTTCGCCTCCCAGAGCTTCAAAACATAGTCGCCTAACCCTTCCCCACGACCGTGTTCTCTCTGGCTGCCTCCAGGATGCAAAGATCTCTCCCTTTTGGGCTCAGAGGTCGAGTGCTTGCCCAGCAAGTGCAAGGCCATGGGCTTGATTCTCCATCTGCCAACAACCATAAAATCAAGAGCGCTTGCCAAGATACCGCTTTCTAAAAATGTTAAGAGGTATCTTTCCCACTTATTCTCTACATTAGGCTGCCTTCCGGGGCTTCATGGTCCGACGTCAATTCCAGAGCCTTCGAGCTGAGTATGAGGCAATTGTCCAGGAGATTGAGGGTGACCTCAGCACGCTTCAGTGGACTGGGGGATGGATTCCAAGGCCCATATTTCTCCCAGAGGTACTACACACCTCAGGGGGAAAGGAAAGAATCTGCTATAGGGTTCAAGGGAATCGTGGGACTCCCCTCTTTGAAGATTTATTTTATGTGTGAGGGTGTTTTGCCTGTTGTTTGTACACTGTAAGTATGCCTGGCACACCCGTTGGTCAAAAGAGGACATTAGACCCTCTAGAACTGGAGTTAAAACTGTGAACCACCATATGGGTGCTGGGAACTGAACCTGGGTCCTCTCAGCGAGTTCTTTGAACTGCTGAGCCATCTCTCCAGCAAGCTCCCAAAGTCTGTAGACACAGAGCCTTACTAGGTAGCCCTGGCTGGCCTTCAACGCAACAGATTTTCCTGCCTCAGCCTTCCCAGGTGCTACTAGCCAGACTGGAACTTTTTTTTTTTTTTTTTTTTTTTTTTTTTTTTTTTGTGCAAAAGCTTCAGTAGTCATTGGAAGAGAAAGCAGATTCACTTCCTCACACCCCAATCCCTAATCCTACCCACTTGCTCACTAGACTATGGTTTCCAGACATTAGTGATCGTGGTGGTGGTGGTGGTGGTGGTGGTAGTGTTAGCTCTGCGTGTCTCACACCTCTCTAAATTCTCATAAGGCAAAATCTCATCGATCCTGGAAAGCAGAGAAAATCACAAACCCAGAGCAGAAACTATGGAGCCATTCCCCATATAAAGACTCTAAAAAGGAACTCATCTGGGAGGAGATGGCTCTGAAGAAGACAGAAAAGAGCCCAGCAAAGCCAGGAAGTCTTTGCAGAGATGATAGCCCCTGGTCACAGGCTGAGCAGGGCAGGAGAGCCAGCCAGGGGAACAGCAGAGATACCTCTGTCTCCAGGGTGGAAAATGCAGGTACTTATCTGGCTAGACCAAGGCAGTTCCGACCTCCTCTGGGTCTCAGCCTCCCATGACCCATGAAAGGATACAGTTGTAACCCTCCCCCACCTCCTCCTCTCTGCCAGTATCTAGGACTAGACTAGTTCCCAGTATCTAAGGCTGTCTCAAAGTGTTCTCTTCCTTCTTCATTGAAGTCACAGATCTAGGATTGTCCCAGAGCCAACAGGAGCTCCAGGAGCAGCGCAACCACTTGGCCATGGAGCTGCTGTGGCTGCAGCAGGCCATCAACAGTCGAAAGGAGGTAGGACTGACTGAAAGCCCTCTCTGAACTCATGGTGGGGGAGGAGCCTTTTGCCATGCCTGAGCAAGCTCACCTCTCTTCTTTCCTAACAGTACCTAATTCTCAAGCAAACCCTGAGATCCCCAGAAGCCAGCCAGACCAGAGACGAGCCTCCCAACACGTGCCTGAAGCACAGGGGACAGGCCCATGAGAAAACCTGGTTGCAGTCAAGCTGTGTTCTGGACAACCAGTCGTACAGAGACAGGATTATAGGAGAGCCCTGTCATGCAGAGGACACCTGCCACAAGGGCAGACTGCAGCCCCAGAAATCCCCAGACAGTGTGACCAGTACTGGCAAAGCCACTGCTGGGTCTAAAGGCAGGGAACTCTGCTATGGGAACTCTGGATCACACCTGCCTGCAGCATTAGAGAGCCAGGCTGGAGGGGACAGGGTCGCCAAAGGGCCAGACCATGGAGGACAGCCCTTTAATGAAACCTCCCTACAGCAGTTGAAACTCCTAGAGGATCAGACCCCTGGGGACCTCAGGTTTAGGAGTCCTTATTCTGGAAAAGCTGAAACACAGCCACCTACTCTCTGCGAAAATCTAAATGTTAACGACAGATATTCCAGAAAGCCAAGCTACAAGGAGGCCGACTGCCGAAGGGCCGGGCCCTGTGATTTGAGTATCTCAGAAGGCCACATGATTTGGGATGAGACCTTGGCAGGGCAGGAACGTGGTAGTCTGGATCTCACAAGGACTAAACCACCCAAGAGCCAACCTCCTAGTACTAGCACTTCTAGGTATCTCACAAGGACTAAACCACCCAAGAGCCAACCCCCTAGTGCTAGCACTTTGAGCCATGGAACGACCAGTGAGCTTAGTCCAGAAGGATGGGAAAGCCATGGGACTCTGCAGTGCAGATGAAGAAATGGAGAACTTGTCTTTCGCAAGACAGGACTAGGGGAAGGGCAGATACTAGCAAGAAAGCAGGACCATCAGGGAAGACGTGAGGATCTAGGAGAGGAAGGGTTCCCAAAGGGGATGCTATGAAAAATGATAAGGGAAGCAGGCCCTTGTCCTGCCTCCGTGGTATCACCTCTGTCTCCTGCCCTTGGCCCTTGGTATCAGGCTAAGAGAAGCTGGAGGGCTGAACTGGTACAATAGGAGAAAGGAGGAGGCCATGCCCTTGTATCTTCCGCCTGTGACTTAAGCCAAATTTCACCTTGTCTTGGGGTAACTAGGGTAGGAGGATCATGGAGAATAAGAGTTTTTCTTGGACTGGTGGACGCCACACAGGAGGAGCTGTGTGGGCAAGTGATGATCTCCCTGGAGACGGCTCACCGTCTTGGTCGGCTGCCATGCGTGTGCTCTGGTGAGGCATAGCCCCAGAGATTGCTTCTTGCTACTGATGGGCCTCCTCACGTTTGTTATCGCCACACTCCTCAGTTATGTGCCTCGGTGTGAGTGGACACCAGAAGACCCTCAGTGCCTGTAGCCTGGTGTGCTACTTACTGGGGGACAGCCACCCTATTGGGCAAATTTCCTGCAGATCAACATGAACTTTCACAAATTAATACTGTTTACATGAACTAATGACTATAGAATTGATTCATATAATTTAAGGAAGAAAGTTTGAGGAGATGGTTTTAGTTGTTTTGCCAGAAAGATGTAATAAAGATGCCGGGCAGTGGTGGCACACGCCTTTAATCCCAGCACTTGGGAGGCAGAGGCAGGTGGATTTCTGAGTTTGAGGCCAGCCTGGTCTACAGAGTGAGTTCCAGGACAGCCAGGGCTACACAGAGAAACACTGTCTCCAAAAAACAAAAAACAAAAACAAAAAACTAGATGTAATAAAGTTAGAGTCAAAAAGAGAATGAACCCCCTCCTCAGAATATTAAGTAAAGGCTGCATAATAAGGAACACAATGAATGTTCATAAATTACACTGAGAAGCGAAACAGGCTTGGGACAGATTTGTGATTGAGGAAAAACGTTCATCCTAGGTCAGGTCCAAGGATGCAGCCACAGGTATGCACTGTGATAAAGCAAGGCCATGTGAAACTGCTGCTTTGAACTTATGAGCTTATAGAATGAAACACTGCTTTGAACTCACTATCAACATCTTCTGAAACTCCCACTTTGTGTAAACATTTTATCTGTGAGGTATTTTATAAAGAATGTTTGTCTAAGAAGGTATAAAAAGGCTGAGAGAAAATTAAGTGGCTGTTGGGGCTCTGCTCCATCCACCATAGATATAGATATAGATTATAGATAGGTAGATTATAGATAGATAAACATGTATATATACAAATATATATCATATGTATGTCTATACGTATGTACATATGTGTATGTATATAAGTATTCATGTGCACTTGTGATATTGATGAAACAGGTGGTCAGGCCCAGTGTGTGTATGTGTCTGTGTATGACCTCTCTTATCTTTTTATTTCTGACCAGCCTCTTAAGAGTTCAGAGTTTCAGGCTGGGCATTCTTGCCAGCCACAGATAATTAAGTTTTGTTCCTGTAAATCGCCCACCACTGTTGGTGAGGCCTCTGTTGGCTGCTATTAGCACTGACCCCAATCTACACACCATACCTCATTGCTTTCCTCAGTTACCTGGTTGTCAGAACAGGCTTTTGGCAAGTTCTGAGCCTGTCTCCTTTTACCTCCTGCCTCTGACCAGGACAGATTCTGGGCCATCTGACATGGAGTGACATCTCCAGAACCAGCTAGCAACGTTGCCTAGGATGTTAGCCATCCTCCTTGGGTAACAGGCTCCAGGCTGACTGCCCTCTGTCTTAGCTGTTCAAAGGAGCCCAAGCCCTGAAGACGGACATCTCCCTCTTACTAAGCCTAAGGTCTGCCTTTCATAATGTGATCAGACCATGCTGGACAAGGTCTGGGGTTTGATCCCAACTGCAAAACAAACGAAAAAGTGATCATATCTATCCTGCTCCTGTGAGGCCTGTCAAGGGCAGACCTGAGACCAAGTTCAGGGAAATGCTTCCAAGGTGCTCACAGACTTCTTGGATAAGAGGGCAGGACTCCACTTTTGGCACATCTCCCTGCCCGGGCTTAGTTGCTTGGCAACAGCTCTGTCTGTGATATACCATGGCAGCCAAGAGGATACTGGTGTATTGAAATGGGGACACCTTCCCAGGCCACCAGCTGGTGGTGACCCAACACTGCTACCCCACCATGGTCTACACTCTTAGTGATGGCCACCCTGTCACCAACCTGGCTGACCTACAGAATGGAGGGCAGTATGTGGCTGCCAACTTTGAACGATTCCACAAGCTCCAGTGAGCGGGTTGGGGCTGGTTAAAGTGCCTGTGGAGGGCGGTGGGATTAATAAGTGTATCTAGTACTTACTTCAAGTCAACAGGCTTAGTCTTTCCAAAGCCTCGGGAGAGACTGTACTACCAGAGTGCAGAAGAAGCACATTGAGAAACTGGCCAGGGGCTATGTAAACAAATAAATTGAGTTGTAACTCGGGTTAAGTTCTGTTACTAAGATGTCCATCCATCACAACCAGGACAAGCCTATGAAGAGAAGTCTGTAAGTCGGATGTCTTTCTGAAGTCGTTTTTTTTTTTCTTGTTGTTGTTTAGTAATTACATTTATTTTTAAAGCCAGGCAGTGGGAGGCACACACCTTTTATCCCAGCCACTGCCTCTCTGGAGTGCTAGAATCGTTTTGTTTTGAGACAGGACTTGTATAACCCTGGCTGTCCTGAATCTCACTCTGTAGACCAGGCTGCCCTTGAACACAGAAATCCATCCACCGGCCTCTGCCTCCCAGATCTGGAATTAAAGGTGTGTGCCACTAATGCCTAGCCGGTGGAGTGCTAGAATTAAAGGCATATGCCACTATACCCATCGCAAAGTTGTCAAGGGCAAGGTCAACCTGGAGAATAGTCTCCTCAGACTAGCCATGGTGATGATAGTCTTGGCTATGATGGGCATAAACCTGGCTGGCCAAGGTTCACACTTCTTTAAGGTGACCTGGGATCTATCTGTCCTTTCAGCTATTTGCCTCCTGGGAGGAAACACCCAGATAGGAAGAACAGGCAACAACATGTAAGTCCTGTGGGGACACTGTAGCCTCTTGTCCCATCCCTCCTGGGACTGCTCTAATTTTGAGAAGGGTCCTAGAAGCAGCGAGAGCTGTCAGTTTCAGGAAGCACATCATAGTCATTCTTGAACCTGCTGTTGTCCTGGGTCCTGGGACTTGAGGACACTGGCCCTGGCTCAGTCCCAGCCTTTTACCTAATCTCCAAACCATGGTCCCCAAAGGAATAATTAGATAGTGACACATGAGGGCAGAGGACAGGAGTTATGTGGCCCAGGAAACAGATGCTCCTTTCAGAAACGTGTGACCAGACACATCTCCACTCACTCGCTCTCCTGCACAAGTTTGGGTCCTGTCTGCTCACCCCATGTTTAGAACCACCCAGTCCCAACCAAAGTCCTGAACTTCTGACTTGAAGAGCTGACTTGGTTTCAGGAGCCTTCCATGTCTCAGTGCCCATGTGATGGGACCTTTGGACAGTGGCTGCCAGCAGATACTCCCTGCTACATCCAGTGAGTGCCAACCTCAGGGAGTGGGGATATAGATTTGTGCCTACCTGAGGTCAAGAAAATGGGAGTGTTTTTTCCCCCTCAGGAGCTCCTATTACAAGTGGGAAGACTGAAAACTCAATATGTAAGTGGTTCTTGGACCACCTGTTCCCTACACTCCCTTCCACATAGGGAGTCTCGAGATCCTTCCCCTTACCTGGCTGTTCTTTGTCTCAGTGCGTTCAGGAATGGGGACCTGCTGAGTCCCCTCTTTAGTCTGAGGCCGTCCCAGACTGCCATCCAGGACTGGGAAACGGTGCTGAAGCTGCTGACTGAGAAGGCCATGTTACAGAGTGGGGCTGTGCGCGAGTATGGGACAAGGAGAATGCACCCCAAGGAGTGCCACTGTATCTGTCTGCTCCTCGGGATGAAAAGGCCAGGGGAAGGTGTGTACTCTCCAGCAGGACATCTTCCAGGGCAGAACCTAAGTTAGCTGTTGCCCGGCGGAGGACCAGAATCAGAAGGTCCTCTGATGGAGCTTAGTGCCTACTGGGTAGGAAGTGGCCTCTTGGCCACCAGCTTTCTTATTACCTCTCCTCGTAGACTCTGCACCCTTGAGGGGCTCCCACTGTCCACAGGGACTGCTCTGGTGAATGGCCATTACTATGTGGCTGTTGGAGGAGTTCAAGGCCCACCCGTGTGGACCTGCTGGTGCCCAGCCCCTCTCTGTCCAAGGGCTGCTGGTAGGTTTGTTTGAGGTAGAGGGTCACAGGTCACAGGAAGTGCCCTCTGAGTCACCTCTAACCTTCCTTTCACTGCAGGTGTCCTCCAAGCCTGAAGTAGAAAGCCCACAGGCAGAGGGTGGGTGCCAAGGGGAACAGCTACATGAGTGAAGGGGAGTGGCTGGCTGAGGACCCCAGCCTTACCCCATGCATCTGCTCAGCAAACATATGAAGCCAAGATTCCATTCCTCTCCCCTTTCTCAGGGGTGAGAACTGAAGTTCTCAAGCATAAGCAAAAAGACTCATCCAGGGTGGCAGTTACAGAGTCGCACATGCCATGCCAAATGCTTCATCACTAGACTGGATGTTGGAACTGGCTACTTGGCATAGCAGGGCCCAACTTTCCACTCACCCTCCCATTCCAGATTAGCCAATTCTTCCAGATGGGCCCAGTGAGCATGTGGCCCAAGAGCAGAAAGCAGACTGGTTTCACTGGGGATCTCTGAATGCCAGTGTCGATGACTGAACTATTCCTAGATAGACAGTCTGATAGGAATGAAGGCAGACAGGAAGGAAGGATACAGACTATGAAGAAGGCACATGGCCTCTCCCAAGCTTCCACAGGCAGCAGGGCACACTGAAGTGTAGACTGGGGAGCAAGAAAGGTGAGAGCAGTCAACATGTGAAGCTCTAGCCCAGTGTCCTATCTGTAGGTCCAGGGCCACAAGGCCCTGGTAGCCCAGCCTTCTCCAAAGGAGCCAAGAGAAACTGAGCCATCCAGTTTCTATGGCAGATCCCAGCAGTTCCTTCAGCCACAAGCTCCCTGCTCTCTCATTCACATCAGGCTAGGGGCCTAGGGTTGGCCCTTTGCATCACCACACCCGTTGTTTATACATGCTAGGAAAGCACACCAGTCTCCTCTGACGGGACATGTCTGCAGTGGGATGCTTCAGCAGAGCTATGTGCTGCCCCTCTACCGGCGTGCTCCTTGCCTCTTAGATTGACATCCCATGTTCACTGTTGTGTGCACATATGTACATGGGCACATATGTACATGCCACAGCCATGTAGAGGTCAGAGGACAACTCTGTGGAGTCAGTTCTCTTTCCACCTTCACACGGGTTGTCATCCTCTGAGGCATTGGAGACCGTGGACAAGGCTCAGGGGAACCAACTGGTATAGCGGGTGAAGGCACAGGAGGCTGAGGGCCCCAGAGCCTGGGTATCAGCCAATGTTGCCTGTTTATTAGGAGTTAAGGGAGTGTATGGGGCTTCTCTGTACCCGAGGAAGGGGACATCTGGGGCTTAGGAAGTGGATCAGGTAAGCCCATCACATTGACACTGGGAAGCCTTAAGATGGGCAGAGATCTGACCTAAAATCCACGGCGCATCTTCCTGGTGACTGAGCAGATATAAATCTGAAAGCCTGGCTTCCTGTTTTCCTTGTAAGGCGTTCAAATTTCCAGTAGGCTCCTTTCGTGTGTGGGGACCTCTGGCAGTCTATGCAAATTGGGCATACAGATAGCTCTATGTCTCCACACATCCACCAGAGGGCAGCAGAGACAGCAGTAGAGGCCTTGTCTGCACAACACCAGCCTGGGCTGTAGTCCCAACTACGGACCATGCTCCACCATTTTAAGAGCTGGGAGCTCCAGATACAAACTGGGGACAACTACTCCCAGCCACCTCTAGTCCCCAGCCCTCAGCAACCTGTTCTAGAGAAGCCATGCCTCCTGGGCTCTCAGTAAGTGAGGCCTCCTCAGTCACAGGCGAGCAAGTTCTATGGGGGCTACTTCCTTACGTGATCCCTGCCAGAGAAAGACTCCATTTAGGAGCAGGCTCATAAAATAAAATATTTGCTAAGCTTTGTTTGCTGTAGATTTACTGAAAGCTGCTACTGGCCAGATGTTTGCTGCAGCTAGGTGCTGCTCGCCACACAGCTGTCTACTTGAGGGACTGGCAGTTGAGCACTTTGCCCAGGGCCAGCTTGTTTTTCTTCCACCTGACATTCTGATGTGACCCTCTCCCTGAATCCCACCGTCAGTCAGCCAAAGCACTGGAATGGAGCTGTGGAGGCGTCCAGCCACTCCTGGTTGAGACTGCAGCCAGCCCTTCCCATGTAGTGGAGGCACTGTGGATGCTGACAGTCTAGAGCAGGTCAGGTAGTGGAGGCTGGGTAACACTGCCTCGGGTGGCAGCAGGAAGACAAGATGGCTGCAGGGCAGAGGCGCTGACGGTCTGTACAGTCTCCAGTGCCAAGTCCTTTTAATCCTTTTTGGTTTTGTTTTTGTTTTTTCAAGACAGAGTTTCTCTGTGTAGCCCTGGATATCCTGGAACTTGCTCTGTACCAGGCTGACCTCAAACTCACAGAGGTCCACCTGCCTCTGCCTTCTGAGTGCTAGGATTAAAGGCGTGCTCCACCATGCCTGGCTCCAGTGCTAAATCTCAACTGTGGGACCCAGTAAAGGTTATAAAACCTGCCCAGTGCTGTCCTTTGTCTGTTTGGGTTTTTGAGGCAGGGTTTCTGAGTAGCCTTGGCTATCCTGAAAACGTCCTCTGGACAGTGCATTTCTTATTGTGACCCCTGAGGTAGATGTGACCTGAGACATGAGAGAGGAGCTGGTGGGTCACTGTCTGCACCTCAGTGCCTAGCATCCGCCAAGCACAGCAGAGATGAAGGTGGGCTGGCCCACTCAAGTGCTCGACGGTTGGTCCTGGGTCTTGATCACCGAACTTGTGATGCACAGTGTGATTCCTGTGACGGTGAGTACCATGCCAGCCACTGCTTCTGAGATAAAGAAACCATCAAGGGGCTGGGGTCAGTGGGGCCAAGGAAGAAAACTAGATGGTGACCCCTGGTCCTGGTTCTCATCTCAGACTCTACCCCCAGATTGCTCAGGGAAAGGAGACTGAGGGCCACAAGCTAGCAGGAGAGCTGTGGTAGAACAAAGGGCAGGCCTCTCCTCGCCCACCCATGGGAGACAGAATCGGGATGTTCACATACTCCAAGGCCCACACAGCCATGCCCTGCCGTGCAGCAGCCCGACTTACCTTTCCCACCAACATCTTCTCCAAGGACCTTCCCAACCATCAGTGTGAAGACGATGGCCAGAGAGTTACAGATGGGCACAGCTAACGTCAGATCTGAGGAATCAGAACAAAAAAATCTCTAGATGCAAAGAGTGCCTTTCTTGGGATAAGACATTTGCAGCATGCCCTCCTCCCTCTCCCCTTATCACCATCAGCACCTATACACAGGACAGTCACAGTAACATTTTTAATTCAATCACTCTGGAAGCAGAAGCAGGCAGATGTGTTCAGGGCCAGGCTGGTCTACCTCAGGAGTTATCAGGGCCAGATAAGGTTAAAAGCAGAAGTTTAAGACTTCCTAGAAAGCTGGGCAGTGGTAGCACACGCCTTTAGCCCCAGCACTTGCGAGACAGAGCAGGCAGATTTCTGAGTTTAAGGCCGGCCTGGTCTACAGAGTGAGTTCCAGGACAGCCAGGGCTACACAGAGAAACCCTGTCTTGAAAAACAGAAAGACTCAGACATAATTTTTTCTCCAGGATAGCTGAGGCTACATAGCAGCATTGGGGAACATAGCTGCAATCGCAGCCATCAGGAGGCTGAGGCAGGAAGATCTCAAGTTTGAGGTCAGCCTGGGCCAAATAGCAAGACTATTAAAAAGGAGGGGGGGGACACTGGGAACACAGTCAGTAAAGTACCTGCTATGGACGCATAGAGATCTGAGTCTGGGTCACCCCAGCACTTGAGTGAAAGTTGGGAAAGGTCACACAGTGGCCTGCAGAGGAGATAAGGAGTCTTGGAGAGCGAATGAGTCAGAGGAGATGCTTGGGCATCTCACAGCTCTGACTGAGGTACTTCTTTATACAGGTTTCACAGAACACAGACAGACTAATGATTATCTAAGAAGTACAGATTATGTGTTTGATTTTTTATTACATGTCCAGGGTAACAAGCTCAGTCACAATTAGAAAATACAAACAGAACAGATTTTATTTTTATACTCAGCCCTCCAATGTAAAGAATCTAACGACTGTCTCCTGAAAGCAAACGTTTGTGATATGACAGCCTGCTTTAGGCTGGAAGTGTTTACAGTTTGAAAGCACTCCAGCCAAACAGAAAATGTCTGAACCGGTCTTTTTATGAATAGCAAATACTAATCCCTAACTTCTTTTATTATATCATTTCATCATCTACATTATAAAGTAGAAAAAGTTTAGTCTTGTCTATGGGATTCTATTCCTCCAGGAGTGTAACCTATTTGACCCCCTCCCCCCCATTTTAAAACTACATTTTCAGAGAGCTCTAAGCATATTGTAACTTACTCTCCTGGCCAGCCAGAGTTTGTCAAGTGTCTCTGTTCACCCTGCCTCGATCATATCATTTGAGCTAGCTCAGGGGTGGACACCCACGCAAACTCCTGTAGTAGTGGTGGACTCCCAGCTTATCTGTCAATCTCATCTGTGCTTAACAATCTCCAGGGTTAAAGACTTCCAAATAAGGCCAGATGAAGTTAAAAGCAGATGTTTAAGTTTAAGACTTCCTAGAAAGATTCAGACATAATGTTCTCAGGAAGACATAAAATGAATTATAATGCAGAAACTCCCAAGAAGGCAACACATAGAGACCAAAACCCAAAAGTGAGAAACACAAGGAGCAGTGAGCGTTCTGCTCAGCTTTGCTGGAGCTGTCAGACAGCTGTGCTGGCTTCATGACTTTTGCTGTTTCCAGTAGATATAGTAGCAGTGGATTTTCCACACAGAGAATGAGCTCATTTCCATAGAAGTGATTCAAGGCTCAGGGCTGAGGTCCAAATTACCTGCCTCCAAGTTCAGTGCTTCCTCAGGACTCTAGCACGAACACCTGACCTCCAAGGCCGGAGACCTGCCTGGCTGCTTTCTTCCTTCCTTTCTTTTTTTCCATTATTCATTCACTTTACATCCCTATTGCTGCCCCCCCCCCACACACACACCCTTCCCTTCTCCTCTGAGAGGGAGGACCTTAGAGGGAGGAGTACCTGTCAAGGATGGCCCTGGTATTGTTTGTGTTTTGATGTTAATTCCGCTCTCCTGGGAGGGGATGTGGACAAGGAGTGAGTCAGGTACTCAGGTGACTTCTTGTGAGCCAATCCCCTAATGAATAAAGGAGCCAATCACTGGGCAAGTAGAAGGGACTTTGGGTTGGATAGGGGAAGAAAGGAAGAGGAGAGAGAAATGGTCTTTTGGACATGGACAGCATGAGGACAAGATGTAGCTACTAGTGTCTCTTGGTTTCTATGGTGGATTCTCCACCGGAGGACTTAGATTTCATATAGATACAAGGTTAGGATTCTAGTTGTTGGACCCTGAGATTGAGTTACCATTGTTTCTGAACTAAGCTTGTGTGGTGTTTTCCTTCCCAGTACAACTACGGCAAGCATGAGTTTGCCAGATGTGCACCACAAAGGCCGTAGGGGTTTTGAAGCACAGGGCTGGCATGGTAGCAACCTGCCAGTGGGAACTTAGTGAGCTGGGTAGAGATATTTTGGAGCCCTGAGTCAGAGAATCTCCATGAGATGAAAACAGGCCGGTGAGACTCTGGGGCTGAGAGTAGCTGGGCATAGCGTGGAAACTTGCCATTCTTTTTAAATATTTCCCACTACAGAGCCCCACCCCAGTATCCTCCCACCCTGGCACATCAAGTCTCTGTAGGGCTGGGTGTATCCTCTCCCAGTGAGACCAGAGGGACTGTGGAGCCCAGTTAGAGGACTGGGATCCACAGGCAGGCAAGAGTTTTAGGGACAGCTCACTCCAGTTGTTGGGATCCCTTCCTCCCTTTCTTTAAAGATTTGTGTGTGTGTGTATTTTGCTTTTATGCATGTGTTGTGCATATCGAGGTCAGAAGAGAGTGTCAGAACCTTCTGGAATAGTGTGAGAAATCATGTGGTGCTGGAAATTGAACTAGGGTCCTCTATTATAAGAAGTTCTCTTAACCACTGAACCACCTCCCTATCCTAGTTAGATAATAAAAATAAGATCTTGACAAGTTCTGTAGCTCACACTTATCTCCAGCACTTAGGAGGCTGAAACAGGAAGACAGCCAGGAGTTCAAGGCCATCCTGGGGTATATCTAAATTCCAGCCTGAGCTACAGAGTGAGATCATTTCAAAAACAACAGCCAGGTATGCTTGTTAGTATTCTGTCTAAACTCCACCTCCACAGTTATTTGGCAACACCCAGGTATGCTCCTCCCCACAGTTACCTGGCAATAGCCAGGTAGGCGTGCCCACTATAAAAGGGGCTGCTTGCTTCCTTCTCTCTCTTACTTTCTTGCCTCTAGCCTCTCTCTGTCCCCTCGCTTTTCCCCTCTTCTCCCCCCACCTCATTTCCCTCCACCATTCCTCCCGTTTCTTTCCCCACCTTTGCCCTCTGTCCTGAATAAACCCCCTCCCCTTTGGAACCATTTGGTCTGGTGTTGTCTGTTCTAATCTGTGCACAAAAGTCTAACAATGCTGGCACACACTTTTAGTCTGAGCACTCAGGAGGCAGAGAATGTGTTATCTTTGGGAATTTGAGGCCAGCCTGATTTATATACCAAGTTCCAAGACAGCCAAGACTGTATAGAGAGAACTCAGCTCAAAACAAAACGAAAATAAGAGTGAGGTCTTTACCCTCAAAGAGAAAGGAGATCTCAAGGGCACAGGACAGACAGGCACTACAGGGCACAGCAGAATGAGCTCCCACAGTTATATACTCGCTGGGTGCTCTGTGCACTGTGACACATTTCCACAGCACTTACCACTTAGTATAAGGGAAACAGACTATAAAGTCATATACTTAAAAAGCTTAAGGTTTCTTTCTGTGTAGAGAGGCTGGAATGGGTAAGATGGCTCAGTGGGTAAGGATGCCTGCTGCCAAGCTGACTTTGGTTTATAGGAGTCACATGAAGGGCCAAATGCCAGAAGTTGTTTTATGACCTCAACATGTGCACAGGTACACCATCGCACTCACACACACATATACATCATAAATATTTTAAAATTACAAGGATCCAGAGTGATGGCGCAGAGAGTAAGAGCACTTGCTGGGTTTGTTCCTCACATATGGGGTCAGAACTCTCTCTAACTCCAGTTCAATGAGATCTGAAGCCCTTTTCTCACCTCTCTGGGAACCAAACACACACATAGTGTACATGTAGGCAAAATACACACATAAGATAATCTAAAGTTTTTTAAAATGCAATTTGCTCAAACCTTTTCTTTTTTTTAAAGATTTATTTATTTTATGTATATGAGTACACCACAGCTCTCTTCAGACACACCAAAAGAGCGCATCAGATCCCATTACAGATGGTTGTGAGCCACCATGTGGTTGCTGGGAATTGAACACAGGACCTCTGGAAGAGCAGTTGGTGCTCTTAACTGCTGAGCCATCTGTCCCGCCCTCTTCTTTTTTTCTTGAGGCAAATTTCTCCGGTAGCCCAAGCTAACTTCTCACTCTGTGGCTGAGGCTGATCTTAAGCTCTTGACTGTCGTGTTCTCACTCCCTGAGTACTGGGATTACAGGCATGTACCACAATGCCTGGCACCTCCAATTTTAATAAACACCCTAAATTTGATCCCTAACACTGAAAGACAAAAGCTTCATAAACAAGCTGGGCAGTGGTAGCTCACGCTTTTGATCCCAGATCTTGGGAGGCAGAGGCAGGTGGATCTCTGAGTTTGAAGACAGCCTGGTCTATAAAATGAGTTCCAGGACAGCCAAAGCTACACAGAGGAACTGCTTCCAAATACAATAAATAAAAATAAATAAATAACTTAAAAAATTTAAAACCTCATAAAAAGTAATGCCACCATGTGATTAGTAAGTTCTAAAGTCTTCCTAGGCAGGAGCTGCATTAGGCCAGAGGCTGGACACTTGGAATACCAACACCATGTGGAGGGCAGAGGACAACTAGCAAGCACAGAATCTCTCTTTTGACCTTGTAGGTTCCAGGGGTCAAAGTCTGGTCATCAGGCTTGCTGGTGGGTGCTGTTACCTGTGGACCCCTCTCCTTTGTTTTTGTAAGATGGCTCTTAAGTATCCCAGGCTGCTCCTACTAAACTTGTTTATCAGCTGAGGATGGCTCTAAATTTCTTTTTTTTTTTTTTCGAGACAGGGTCTCTCTGTGTAGCCCTGGCTGTCCTGGAACTCACTCTGTAGACCAGCCTGGCCTCAAACTCAGAAATCCGCCTGCCTCTGCCTCCCAAGTGCTGGGATTAAAGGCATGTGCCACCACTGCCCAGGCTGGCCCCAAACTTCTGATCCTTCTGCCTCTACCTCCTAAGGACTAGAAGGTAACCACCATAAGGGTTTCTGGGAGCTGGGGTGGAGCCCAGGGCTTCATGCATGCTGGGTAAGCACTCTTATCAAACGAGCTGCAGCCCAGCCTAGCAATTCAAGTCTTATGGATACTGACTCTAGCTGAATCTCAAAGTACCCAATCTAGAGGCTGTCTTCTCAGGTTCTTTCCTCCTCTTGGGGCTCTGGTCTCTAGGATAGGCAAAAACACAGCAAGGAGACTTTTGCAAAAGTTCAAGGGCAAAAATCCTTAGTAAGGGGTGGGGTAGAGTTTCTTGTTAACTTTTTTGAGACAGCCTGGCCTAGAACTCACTAAGTATCCCAGGACATACTACGTATCCCAGGATGTCTATGAACTTGTGGCTCTCTTCCTGCCTTAGCCTCTAAGTGCTGGAATTACAGGCATGAGGCACCAGGCCCAGCTTATAACCATTAATATGCAGCTGGAGGAGAGAGAGAAAGCGAGTGCAGTTATACTGGGACAGCTTTTATTTTAAAACTTATTTATGACTGGGCAGTGGTGGCGCACGCCTTTAATTCCAGCACTTGGGAGGCAGAGGCAGGCGGATTTCTGAGTTCGAGGCCAGCCTGGTCTACAGAGTGAGTTCCAGGACAGCCAGGACTACACAGAGAAACCCTGTCTCAAAAAAAAAAAAAAAAAAAACAACTTATTTATGCATGAATATTCTGTCTGCATAACAGGAGAGCATATAAGATCTCATTACAGATGGTTGTGAGCCACCATGTGGTTGCTGGGAATTGAACTCAGGATCTTTAGAAGAGCAGCCAGTGCTCTTAAATCACTGAGCCATCTCTCCAGCCCCTTTACTGGGACAGTTTTACAGAAGCAGGTTGCAGGTGAGAACAGAACAAGCCAGAGAAGGAGAAGGAGACAGAAGATTAGAACAGATTGCCAGAGTTAGTTTGAGGCTAATCAGAGCAATTAAATAGAAGCTGAGAGAAGTCAGTTTGAATCAGTCAGCATGGAGAGGAGTTTTGAGCCAGAACAGCTGAATTGAACCAGACAGCCCGAGTTCAGAGAGAACTAGAAAGGGTAAGCTTATTTAGCAGTAAGCCTCCAAGTGACAATTACATCAGGCAAATAAAAAGTACATTTACAAAGGCAAGCATAATAAACTGCCCATCATCTCCATGACTATAAGCATGTTTGTTTCAGAAGATCATAATATAAATAAAATATACAGCTTGATTTAATAGGATAGGAATAGTCAATAAACACTTGGAGAAAGGATATTGATATTTATTGAGCCTCTCTTGTATGTCAGGTACTCTGCTAGATTCTTCTCATAGACTGAACTAATCTTCACAATGCTATGAATCTCACTATATAAGGCCAAGATTCAAATAAAGGACTTACTCTAGGCCAGGCAGGTAGTATATGGGGGACCAAAGCATCAGCACATCACTTACATGGGTGTTTGGTGAACACCTACAATCCTAGCACTCGGAAGACAGAGGTACAGGATCAGGATTTGGAGGCAGTCTGAGTCACATAGTGAGACTCTACCCCAAAAACAACAAAAAGGGGCTGGTGTGGCCACTCGGTGGGTAAAGGCACTTGCCATCAAGACTGATGGTCCTAGCTCATTACTAGAATCTACAAGATAAAAGGAAAACCTAAAACTTGTCCTCTGACCAAACACATTAGAACACATGTGCACACACAAGTACACACACAAAATAAATCTAAGAAAACAAGTTAAAACAATCATCAAACAAACAGAAAAAGTATCAGGAAAACCCCTCCTCCCAAATATTAAAAGAGGTCAGCACTTACGAGACCACAGTGAACCTTCCTTCTGCTGCTGCACAGGACTGTCAGGCCAGCCTTAGTGACTGGCCTCTCACTCGGGTACACCCACCTCACTGCCTGACTCACAGAAGGACCAGAAACAGGTGCTCTCCCTCACTGACAGGTGCCAGGTGTTTCCGATTCCCTTTGTAAAAATATGGCTTCCACCCCAGAGAAGACCCAAGGCAGAGACCCACCTGTTGATGCCAACGTCAAGTAGTACAGAAGGGAGCCACTCTGATTGAGGAGAAAGGGCATCAGGTACTAGAAAGAGGAGAAACCTGTCTGTTATCGCCTGCGTTTGCAACAGACTTCTCGGTTCTCAACCTTCCTAATGCTGTGGCCCTTTAACTCAGTTCCTCATGTTGTGGTGACCCCAACCATAAAATTGTTTTCATTGCTACTTCATAACTGTAATCTTGCTACAGCTATAAACTGTAATGTAAGTATCTGATATGCAGGATGTCTGGTATGTGACCCTTTCCAGTTGCTACCCAGTTTGAGAACCCCTGTTCTGGCTTAGGCCTTTCCCACAGGGGTTGGGATGGTTACAAATGCTCAGAGATGCTCATGTATTTGAGGACCCTTTAGAGCAAAGAGAGAAACACATTCAGTGTACTCTATTGCCTTAAATGCCCACTCCCTCGTCGTGGCCAGTTCTCATCTTCCACAGGTATAAGGCCTTGAGTGACAGTGTTACCCCTTCCAAGAAGCCCACTCCACATCCTCCATCTCTCTCCTCTGAATTCACATAACACTTTATCTGTACCTCTCTCCTTCCGGCTAACCCTCAGAGTGCTGCGTATCTAGCTAGCTTACACCGGCAGCAGTAGGCAGGTTGGAGGCAGTTCTCGACCGCTTTCCTTATGTTCTATCCCAGGGCAAGGTGAGCCCAAAGAAAGCTTCTGGAAAGGCTCCAAATAGTTACATACTTGCTAGGGTGACAATAACATTAAGAGTAGTCCTGGAGCCTGGCAATAGTGGTGCTTTTAATCCCAGCGCTCAGGAGTCAGAGGCGGGCTGATGTCTGAGTTCGAGGCTAGTGAGTTCAGGATAGCCAGGATTACATAGAGAAACCCTGTCTCCCAAAAACAAAAAACAAGAACAAAAAGCAAAAAAAGTCATAGATTAAACATGTACGCTGTATTCGGCCCAATGCTGTCTTATGTGTCTTAACCTCATTTCTTATATCAGCCCTATACATGGGTTATCATTAAAATTTCCATTTTGCCGGGCGGTGGTGGCGCACGCCTTTAATCCCAGCACTTGGGAGGCAGAGGCAGGCGAATTTCTGAGTTCGAGGCCAGCCTGGTCTACAGAGTGAGTTCCAGGACAGCCAGGGCTACACAGAGAAACCCTGTCTCGAAAAACCAAAAAAAAAAAAAATTTCCATTTTACGGATGATGAAGCTGAGACACACAGGATAAATGACTCTTCCAGGAGCTTCTAGTGAGCTTGGGAATCTGGCCGACCAGTGACCAAACGCTCAGCGTTTCCTCCAAGGGAGCTAGCTCCACAGACGCACCTCAGTATTCGAGAAGAGAGTCTTCATCTCCTGCAATAGCTGCCGGGCCCACGTCTGCTCATGCACCTGCTGCAGGCCGGAGGAGGCCCGCTTCAGCAGCGGCTGCGTGCCACCCCACAGTGCGGCCACCAGCACCAGAGCAAGCACCTGCCCTGAAAGCAAAGGGTCAGTGAGTCACCCGGGCCCTCTCTGGCCTCCTCCAGCCCGGCTGACCGGCTCCATCTCCCTCCCGCGCTTTCCACGCCGGCCTACGATAGGTTGGGAGGACCCGCCGGAAGGCAGCGGAAGTGAGTCTGGGAGACCAGGGTGCGTGGCTTAGCATTCCTGGGGTTCGGAGATGCGAGGGGAGCCAGAAAAGGTTCCCAAAGTTAGAATAGAGCCCGCGGAGGGGCGGGGCCAGCTACCCACCCAAGGACGCCGCCATGGAAACGCCGGGCCCTTCTACTTCCGGGAGCGAGAGGGCGGAGTCCCCGCATCCGGAAATCGTCCCAGTCTTCTTCCGGTCCTACTCACATTGCCTCTCTCCTCGCGTCACCGCCAGGATGGTGAGTTCCAGGCATGGGGTGCTGCTGTCGCGGTGGGGGTGGGGGGCCCTCAGTAGGTTTGGGACTAGGTTCCCGGCACTGACACTTCGGTTCTGTCCCCACAGAAGCCCATCCTGCTGCAGGGCCATGAGCGGTCCATCACGCAAATCAAGTACAACCGCGAAGGGGACCTCCTCTTCACTGTGGCCAAAGACCCTGTGAGCGACTGCGGGCGGGCGGGCGGGCAGGGCACCCGGAGGGGCGAGTTTCGCGCCGCCGGGACTGTAGGTGAACAAGGTTTGCTGCCGGAGGGAAATTTCTCTGTGAAGCAGGGGAAACCACCCATACCGGGGTAGGTTAGCGACAGCATTCCGCCAGGGAAATCTGGAAGAAGTTGGTGGATGAAAGGAAAGAGTACCCAGGGAAAGAAAACTAAGAGACTGTGGAAGGGGACCTAGGGACAGGACAGGGTCAACTGCTTGGCTTAGTCTGTTCAGTCCCACGTTTATTCCCTTTGGGTACTGTCATTTTCACATGGAGGCAGTAAACTGATGGTTAGCAGTGGAGAGTCTGAAGTCAGAGCTTGATGTAACTCCTAACTCCTACTAACACCTACTAGCAGTGAGACTTTGAACACGACATTTAACCTTTCTAAACTACAGTTTTCCCTTTGAGTAAAACATGGAGACTTTAAGTAGCTCCCTCAGCAAAGTGAGATCATTCCTGTAAATAGTTTTGCACTGTTCTGTGTATGTTAGTCACTTACGCTTAAGTTTCATAGACATGCTTTTATTGGAGCTTCAGTGCTGGCTTTTGAAGAAAGCTGTTGACAAGGGTGGGGTATCTGTCCAAGCTGGCCTGCACCTCTCCATCCTCCTGGTCTTGGGAACACAGATGTGTGCTGTCACACACAGCACCTCCCAGTCCTTTTTTAAAAAAATTGTGTGTGTGTGTGTGTGTGGCCGTCTGTAATGATTTTGTTTATTTTATGTACATGTGTGCTTTCCTGCATTGTATGTCTGCGTAGCATGTGTGTGCTTGGTGCCTGTGAAGGCCAGAAGAGTATCAAATCCCCTGGAACTGCAGATACAGATTGTTGTCAGCCATCATGTGGGTGTTGGGAACCGAACCCAAGTTGTCTGGAAGAGCAGCCAGGACTCTTTAAGCTCTGAGCCATCTCTCCAGCTCCCCTTGTCATTTAAAGGAAAGAATTTAAGTGTATTTAAGATCACACAGTGAGCCGGGCGGTGGTGGCGCACGCCTTTAATCCCAGCACTTGGGAGGGAGAGGCAGGCGGATTTCTGAGTTCGAGGCCAGCCTGGTCTACAGAGTGAGTTCCAGGACAGCCAGGGCTACACAGAGAAACCCTGTCTCGAAAAACCAAAAAAAAAAAAAAAAAAAAAAAAGATCACACAGTGAGCTAGTGACAAAGAACTGGAGCCCATGCGTGCTTACTGTCATCCGGAGTCAATTGAACAGGACCTGAAAGGTTTTTTTTTAAGCTGGAACTCAACCTGGCCTTTGACTCTTCTGAATCCAGACAGAAGCATATGAGGGTGCTATTGCAGGCCTGCCTCTTCTACTGTTTGTGTTAGGAAAGGTTGAGAACCCAGGAGCGGTCTTTTTAGTCAGCTCTCCCCCACTGTAAGTGAGCAGAAGCAGACTTGGCTTGGCTAGAGCTTGCAGAGGGTCTGAGCTTGGTTAGTGCAAACTAAGCTATTGATTTTTCTGGGATGTGACCTGTCCTGTCATTTTACTCTTTCCAGATCGTCAATGTGTGGTACTCTGTCAATGGCGAGAGGCTAGGCACCTACATGGGCCACACTGGAGCCGTGTGGTGTGTAGATGCTGACTGTATCCTTTTTGCCGTGGATCAGCCATCCTTGGAGATGCTGACTTTGAGGTTGTGACTCTGGCATGCTATAGTGGTCTTAAGAATAACACTCCCTACTCCCAGGTGCTTCATCCTTTGGGAAAATAGGACACATTCAAGTTTGGGAACTCAGAGGTCAGGAAACTCTGGGGTAAAAGTGAGAAAGGCTCTTTGGGACTGAACTGGGAGATGCTTTGATGGCTTGCAGGAGGACATGGGCTAGGTGGACTATGTATTTCATTTGTATATGTGTATATATGTGTATATATGTGTATATATGTGTATATATGTGGATGTGATGAACCTGTGTGTGCAGGTGCAGAGACGAATGGAAGCCAGCAGTCACCATCAGGTCTTGTCTTAAGTCATTCTTCAACCTTTTTTTTTTTTTTTAATCTTTTTTATCATTTCTCATTTCCTCTAAAGATAGTTTTATTTGTATGGGTGTTTTGCCTGCATATGTGTACCATGTGTGTACATTGCTAGCCATTTTCCTTTAAATGACAGAGGGCATCAGATCCCTTAGAACAGAAGTTATAAATGGTTGTGAGCCACTATATGGGTGCTGGGAACCTAGCCAATGCTCTAACCAATGAGCAATCTCTCCCAGCTTTCTTTTTTTGGGGGGGGGGGGTTTGTTTTGTTTGTTTGTTTTGTTTTCAAGACAGTCTCTCAGTATGGCAGTGTTCGTTGTCCTGGAACTCTCTGTAGACTGCGTAGGCCTCAAGAGATCCAACTGTCTCTGTTTCCCAAGCATGGGATCAAAGACATGAACCACTGCTTGGCTCCAACTTGTTTTTTGAGAAGAAAACAAAAACAAGTTTTTCTTGAGTCTGTAGCTACCTGATTATCTGGACTTGGCCAGCCAGTCACTTCCTGTCTTCATCGCTCAGCACTGGAATTACAGCCACACCAGAGTCTCTGTGTGGACGCCAGGAGCTGAGCTGAGGTCCTCAGATTTGCACACAGAGCGTTTTACCCTGTCTCCCCAGCCCTAGTCATTCTTATTTCTTCTGTGTCCAGGAGTGATTTGCCTGGTTTGTGTATGTGTGCCTAGTGCCCTTGGAAGCCACAAGTGGGCACTGGATCCCCCTGGAACTAGAGTTGGGAACCACCACGTGGGTGCTGGGATTCTAACCTGGGTCCTCCAGAAGAGTAGCCAGGGCTCTAACCACTCAGCATCTCTCCAGCCCAAGTCATATTTCTTTTTTTTTTTTTTTTTTTTTTTTTTTTT